TTTGTATGGTGAGTTTGAAAACTCAAGTGTTGTTGTTCTTTCTCATTTTAAAATCCATTCATGGACCTTGTCCTACAAAGAACCATCTCAGTTTTACAAAAGACATGTTTAACATTATGAACATGAGGAGGTGTGTGTGTGTGTATATGATACATATTTTAATGATATGATATACAATACATAAAAATATGTAAGGTATAGCCAGGCATGGTGATAACACCAGTAATCTAAGCACTGTGAGAGGCTGAGGCAGGGGAATTCCAAGTTTGAGCACAGACTGAACAACTTAGTGAGGCCCTATTTCAAAATAGAGTATTTTTAGCCAGGCAAGTGGCACATGCCTGTAATCCCAACACTTGGGAGGCTGGGCAGGAGGACTGCTGCAAGTTCAAGGACAGCCTGAACTACACAGGGGCACCCTGTCTCAAAGAACAAAACAGCAAAACAAATTTAAAAATGCTGAGGGTCAGACCTGGTGTTGTATGTCTATAATCCCAGCACTCAGGAGACAGGCAGGAGGACTGCCAAAAGTTTGAGGCCAGCCTGGGTTATACAGTGAGTTCAAGGTTAGTCTGAACTACATGGAAAGACTCTATCTCAAAACAAACAAACAAACAACAATAAAGGAAAACACATAAAAAGTCTAAGAATGTAGCCCAGCATAGAGGTCCTAGGTTTAATTCCCAGCAAGACTAAAATAATCAATTGATCTCAGAATAAAAGACAAACTTCCAGGGAAGGACAAGTAGCAACCTTATTTAGCCATGTTGGGATCATCTATCATTGCTAAAATTAAAAAATAGGTACAGAATATTCTGAGTGTTTATATGACTCTCATTATTATCACCAACTTAACATATGTTAAAAAACAATTAGGAATCTCTACTATCTCTGGGTAGAAAATCCCAGACTGCAAAAGCTTTTAACCCTTCAGTCTGTATGCTGCACGCCTGTGTGCTCTTTCACTCATTCTCAGGGCTCACTACCACAGGCTCATGAAGTGGGTCACAGGCTCCAGGGTATTCATAACACCATGAACACGTGATTTTTTATGTATATACTGGGGTTTTTTGTGGGGGGAAGGAAAGGGCTTATAACTTTCTATGATTCAGAAAGGTGAGAAACCATTGGTTTAGTTAAATTTATTCACTTCGCTTTTAAAAAGTATTATTGCCTTGGGAGCCCCTTCAGTATTTTTTCTAGTTCTTTTTTTGGTGTGGGATCCATCTAATTTCTGGTTTCTCTTTGCTAACTGCATATTTCAATTCCTGTCCTCACCTTAATACTCTTCTTCTTCTTCTTTTTTTCCTTGAAATAAAATGGATTTGGGAAAAAATAGTCTTCTAATTAAAAACAAAAAAATACTTTCCTCTATCAGTTAGTCACAAGGAATTTCAAGGGTATTTCTTTTCGTTTTGTTTTGTTTTCCAAAGTCAAGAAAGATGGAAAAGGCAGAGAGTGATGCCCACATAGAAGCTGACAGGCAGGAAGACAAGCAGCTAGAGACAGCAAGATACATGGGCACAGATAAAAGGCCCAAGGACAGACACGATAGCCAGGCAAAACAAATACAGACAAACCTAGAAACAAGGAGGAAGCACAACCACCAAGTAAACAGAGAAGGATGAGAGAAAAATAGGCTGGCAGGGAGCAAAAAGATGACTGTCAGAGAAGCAGACAAGATCATCAAGAGAAATGCAGAGATGCAAACAGGGGAAGAGAAAAAGAGAAAGAAGGTAGACAGATAAAGGAAGAAAACAAGGAAAGAAGGAAGACAAAGTGATAATACTGTTTCATAAAACAGTGTCATAATTTATAAAGTGCTATCACATACATTATTGCAGGCAGACAGGGCGAATACCACAGACAAATGGGGTGATAGAGGAATACAGGCCAATCAGAGAGAAGAGAAGGAGGATAGCCAATCAGAAAGAGGCTAGAATGGAGACCTAGACATACAGAATGGGGGGGGGCACAGAGAAGAGGCTGAAACAGTTAAATGCAGGAATATAGGCGGTAAAAAGCATAAATGAAAGAGTACATTGGTGGAGTGTGGAGAAGTTGTATCATGTTTCTTAGAGACCTGGTTAGAGGTTGAGTCTCCGTCTTAATCAAAGAGTTGTTTCTTAAGATGACATGGAGAGGATCCAGAAAAAAAGATGAAAAAAGAGAAAAGTTTTAATAAGGAGGAAAGCTTTTCAGATGAAGAGAAAGACAAACTTCTTGGGCAGACCTCAGTCAATGACCCAAAAGGATCTAGATTCATATGCTAAGTGGGAAGGTCTCTGTCTATAAACAGAGTTTATAAGGTTTTTTTTTTTTTTTTAAACTAATTGTACCTATATCTATGTTAATTTTTTATACTTCCAGGGTTTTCATGTCTTTTCTTTTCTCAGTCCATATTTCAGTGAAGAGATTAACAAAGATGCACTGCCCTCCACGTAACTTACTATGTGGAATAGGAAAGAGCAAGCACCTTCTAAGCTGTCCTTTCGTACTGATAATAAAAGCAGGCCATAGCAGTCAATTAAAAATACAAGTGCCAGTTGGGCATGGCGGTGCACGCCTGTAATCTCAGCACTCAGGAGGACTGCTGTGAGTTCGAGGCCAGCCTGGGCTACAGTCAGTTCAAGCTCATCTTGATCAGCATGATGAGACCCTGCCTCAAAAAGACAAGACAAGACCAAAAACAACAACAACAAAAAACAAATGTCACAAGAAGAATCAAAAAAGACAAAAGGGGCAAGAGGAGGCAAGTCCAACAAAGGCAGTAAGGAGACTAATAGGAGAATGAACATCCAGCAAAAGTAGGAGAGAACTATTATGGGGCAGCACCAAGAGCCAACAGTAGACTTATCTATGTGTAGTCTCCTCTGGGGCAGCATCCAAGAAAGGTGACATAGTGGCATCCTCTAGGGATAGGTAGGCATGCTCTTGGGGAGAGGCATAGGCAGGAGACGTACTTGATAGGGTTAGTACTTTTAAAATTTCATATCATGTATATGTCTATTCAAAAATTCATTAGGAGAAAAAGTAAAAATGAAAAAGAAAGAAGAAAATCAAGCAGAGACGCGGACAGTCAGAGCCTGCCAAGCAGACAGCAAAAAGGCAGGAAATATCGAGAGACCGGGAGAATGGCAAAAAGACTGAGGCAGGCAGGCTGTGTGAGGAAACAGAAAGTCAGAGGCCACCGCGAGAGAGGGCAGCGTAGGGGGCATGGGATGAAGACAGCTGACATTCGGGGCGTGGGGATACTGACAGGCCTGGAACGAGAGACCCTCCCCACTGACGGATGCTGGCAGAAAGGAAGCCAAGGGAGAAAAAGCTGATACGTGTCAAAGTAAAAAGATACAGGCATTAAACAGAACAGGAGGCAAGCAAGTAGGGCAGACAGGCAGGAAGACAGACCTGAAGAGAGGCCAGGCAAACTGATGGCCTTAGCAGCAACACACAGAGAGACGAGAGAAGGGCGAGAGAAGAGGAAGCATGATGGGCAGCCAGGGCCGGCCTGGGAGGTGCACAGAGCAGAGATGCAGGCTGAGAAAGTGATAGAGACAGGCAGGCCAGGAAACAGATGGCTAGAGAGAGTGGTGGGCAAACAGCCAGAGAAACAGACAGACAACCAGAGAGAGAGAGAGGCTGCCAGCCGCTCAGGGAGAGGCAGACAGGGAGGCAGGCGGACGCGATAACAGGAGCAGGAGCGAGCAGGTAGAGAGGCAGGCGGGAACAAGGACCAAGGACGGAAGATGACAAATCAGGGGGCCAGCAGGGAGCAAAGGAAGGAGAGAGAGAAGGGAGGAAAGGGAAGGGGAGAGGAGGAGATAAGGGAAGAGAAGAAGAAGGAGAAGAAGAAGAAGAAGAAGAAGAAGAAGAAGAAGAAGAAGAAGAAGAAGAAGAAGAAGAAGAAGAAGCAAGCAAGTAGAAAAGCAAGCTGGCCAGCCAGAGACACAGACAGGCGCGGGGTGGGGGTGAACAAGAGGAGAATCAGGCAGATTAACTAATCCACATGTACAGCACACTCAGGACACAGAATGAAGAAGCCTCACACGGATCCACATGGCCATCTTTAGTCGTCCACACCTACAAACTGTGGCACATGTGGCAGGCAGACTGAGGTGCTTGGCACAGGAGAGGGGCCAAGGCAGCGAAACTGGTGCACGTGATGTGCTGTGTGGCCCACACACATGTGCAGACACTTTTCCCAGACTCTGCAATCCACAGGGTAATGAACTAGGCGGGAAAGGGGCAGCCAGGCACACATGAGAAGAACCACGAGGCTGGAAGACAGAAGCAGACAGCAGATAGTCACTTAGAGGTGACGGCACGCGAGGGTCAGAGTGATGACAAACACACGCCAACCACATACACATAGAGAGAAGCCCACATACAGAAACAGGAGGATACTCGGACAGACTAGCAGACAGCAGAAAAGAGCTAAATCACATGAACAGGAAGCTCTACTCAGTATAGGAATGACATGCGGGCATTCCACGGGCCAAGTTAAAAAGTAAGATGGAAACCAACATTCCATAACATGCGTTAGGATGGGGAAAACATCAATGAAAAACATTTTTGTAGTTTTCCCTTTTTTCTAGTACTTTTGTTTGCTGGTCACCTTCCTCCTCCTCCTTAGGGTGCCTAGTGCGGAAACTGGGGGGCAGGCGATTACACTTAGGATGCAGAGAAATGGCCCAGAGGATGATTTTACAGGCCTGCAAGATGTGAAGCAAGGGAAGGAGCCAAGAGAGGTCAAAAGAATGGGAGGAATGTAAAATTAATAAGAAGGTGAGAAACAAAAAAGGGGAGAAGTGAGCTATGCACCTCCTTTCCTTCCCTGGCAAGTTTTATGTCTGGACCTCTCTGATCAAATCTCAGAAAGCTGCTTTTAGGCTCTTTTCAACTGCCGTCTGATTGGTGGCACAACTTTAAGATAAACACTGAGGTACAGTTGGAAAGCGTGGTCAGCAAGTCGGATGAAAATGCCTGAGCGTAACCCCTACCTCTTTCTTTTGCTCAGTTCCAGTGACTTTTCTCTTTCCGGGCACCTCAGTTTCTTCTCCTTTAATACACTTGGAGATCATGGAGGAGGAAAATAGACTGAAACAGGAGAAAAGAGAGAAGAATTTCACAACCTTCATACTTTATCTCTCTTAATTCTAAAAATTTGCTTTGTTTACCACCAAATTAATTTCTCAAACCGGATGAATTTTACATGCAAGCAATTAAGCAAAGAGTAGGCAAGGAAGAGGGAACAGTGAAGAGAAAAATTACAATTACAAATCACTGAAAAGGCTGGGCAAAGGGGAGAATCAAACATGGATTCCTTTGAAAAAAACTCAATCATTGTATCTATTCATATCTCTTCCCCCAAAAGTCACTAAGATTTCTGTCATTTTTTTAAAAAAAGAAAAAAAAAATCCAGTCCCGTTTCTCATTTACCAGATACGTACACAATTAAATGCATTTCGACTTCAATGAGGTATGCAGCAACAGAGTTATATATAAACATATATTTCATCTTTTTCCTTTTCAATGCCTGAAGGGGAAAAAAAAAACCTTCACATCAAACCACTCCCTTCTGAAGTATTCAAAAAAAAAAAGCTTGTCTTTACTGAAGGGAGGTGGGAAGAGACTAGTAAAGAAAAAATTCAATCTAGTTGGACTAGTATCTAACTAGTTAACCTTTAACAATTTATGCTGATGTCAGACTGAGCATGAGTACTGATTAATGCCCCCCCTAAATATTTTTATATGGGGGGAGTTAGTCACAGCAGCCATTTTTGTTTTATGCAGAAATCCTTCACCCCCCAACACACACACACACACACACACACACACACACACACACACACACTTCAGTACACAAGGAAAATATCTCTATTAATCTGTGCACTAATCAGTTATGAAAAAAGGGAGAAATTTGTAGGTTTCTGGGTAGAGGCTTGAAGATGGGGGTGTAACAGGGAGAATGGAGGGGGGGGGTGAAAAATGAAATATTAAGCCAGCCATTTTGTTTTAAAAGGGGATTTTACCCCCTCTTTCTTTATGGAAGGGGTGGCGGTGCTGGAGGGGGGGCTGTTTTAAAAATAATTTCAAGGCGGCCATCTTAGTGCCTCAGCTCTGAGAAATATTTCTGAGCGCCCCCCTCAGAATTTAAATAGATTTAAAACCACGGGGGGGGTGTTAGAGGAAAGTCGAAAACTTTCATATATATATAAAATTTTTTTTTCTTGAAAAAAAAAATCCCCCTTTCTTGTTCTCTTGGGAAGAGAGAGGGGGAAAAAAGTCTCTCCTCAAAATTTTCCAAGAACATTTTTGGGGTGACTTAGCTCCCCTCCCGGACGGCGGCCCGAGGGGGGAGTTTCGGAGGGGGGGTGACCCGGGGTTTGGGGGGCTGGGGGAGGCGGTGAGGAGGAGGACGCCGCCGCCGAGGAGGAGGAGGAGGAGGAGGAGGACGAGGAGGAGGAGGAGGAGGAGGAGGAGGAGGAGGAGGAGGTGGTGGTGGTAGCGGTGGGGGAGGGCGGGCGGGCGGTGGGTGGGGGGGTGGTGGGGGGGCCAGAGCCACAGGATGGCTTCCCCTCTGAGGGACGAGGAGGAGGAGGAGGAGGAGATGGTGGTGTCGGAGGAGGAAGAAGAGGAGGAAGAAGAGGGCGACGAGGAGGAGGAGGAGGTGGAGGCGGCCGACGAGGACGATGAGGAGGAGGACGACGAGGGAGTACTCGGGCGCGGGCCGGGCCACTACCGGGGCCGCGACCGCCACAGCCCCCCCGGCTGCCACCTCTTCCCGCCGCCGCCGCCGCCGCCGCCGCCGCTGCCCCCGCCGCTGCCGCCCCCGCCGCCAGGTAAGCGGCCACACGACTTCCCCCAGCCCGAGTGGAAGCCGCGGACGCGCGAAGCCGGCGGGCGGGCGCCGGGCACCCACCGCGCGGCCGAGCCGAGGCGGATCCGGGGCGGGCGCGGGCGCAGTCTCGAGCCCGGCGCCCCGCGGCGGTCCGGGCGGTCCCCGCGGTCCGGGCGGCGGCCGCCGCGGGGCCAGGCCTCCTCCCCTCCCCCGCCGCTCCCCTCCCCCTCCGCCGCCGCCGCCGCCGCCGCCGCCTCCGCCGCCGCCCGGGCTGGAGAGCGCTGGGCGCGAGCTGCGCGCGCGGACCGGGCCACTCGGTCGCAGTTTTCGGGGGAGGAGAAGGAGGAGATTTTTTTTTTTTTACCCTCGGCGGGGAGGAGGTAGGCAGGAAACGGCCACGGCAAATCCAGGGTCCCCTCCCCGGCCGAGCGAGGGACCTCCGAGACCCTGGCGGCCGGACGGCGGCGTGGGGGAGGGGCGCGTGGGGGAAGGGCGGTCGCGCGAGCGCCCCTCGGGCAGCGGCCCCGGTGGGGTTGCACCGAGGCAGAGCGGAGTTTCCGTGTGTGCAGCAGTCCGCGCGCGGCCCTGGTCCCCCTCCGCTGGGGACTTGGACAGGCCGAGTGGGATAGTGTCCACCTGGAGCCCCCTGCCACCTGCGGTGACTTCGGTGCCCGCCAACTCGGGCATGTGGTGGCACTCGAGGGGAGGGATTGTGTGAGTGTTTGTGGGCGGCCGATGAGTAGGGGCAGGTGGTGGCCACACTTCACGCAGACCACTTCCTGTAGTAAGACTCGAGCCTACCCCTCAGCCGGCAGTAGAGATCGAGAGTCACTTGAGATTAGGGGACCAGAGTGGTGTCTGGGGAGCCAGATGCACCCAGCTCCACCCCCTTCATCTCGGCTCTGCTCCTGGCTCTTTTGTGTCAAGTGCGACCCCCTCCCCCCCATGACCCCGTCAGTCTGGGGTAGCCGAACAGTCCTGCTGTGACTCTCACGTGGCTGCCACTCACTGCCACTCACTCGGCTCGGCTCGCTGAATCCGCCTAAACTCGGACCGTGCTGGGGGGCGTGAGCTGCCCACCCGGCTACTGTTCAGCTTGACCATCACTCAGCACCTGTGCCCCCAGTAAGAAGTTACAGGGCACTGTGGGCCAGCGCTCTCAGGGAGCGGGTACAGACCACTGTCTGGCACCAAGCGCCCAGCAGCGGCTCGCCGCAGACCTCCCTCCCGGTGGAGGAATCTCCAGTCCTTAGGGTAGATGGGCTTTTTGGTGTCCAGTGTCCATATCCTCGGCTTGGGGACATCCACACTCCCAGGCCGCTGGTAGCAGAGCAGCGCAGATGTGTCAGACGTCTTAATGTGTACCATCCTGATCTTTGTAAAACTGTCCTATCGATTTCTGTGGCTTATGTGGCACATGTTTTTGTCTAGTTGAGACAGTCTTGGAGGAGCAAGTGGGGGTTGCTTTCTTGGGGTGGGGTTTAATGGAGGCTGGATAAAGTCTCCTGCTCCCCCAAGGCTTGTCAGGAAAAAGGAAAAGTTTTGAAAAAGTTACCCTGGGAGCCAGAAGATTTCGCAGGAGAGTAGAAAGAATCCTGGGCAGAGGGCTGCTTCTAGGGCTGCCTACAGCAAAGTGCTAAAATGAGGGAAAGGAAGGGTGTCAGGTGAGCTAAGGAACTGGCCGCTCACAGCTATTTGTATTCGAATTTGGGACCTGGTACTTGTGTGTTTTTGATCCTGGATCTGGATATTTAAGACTGAGGAGCATGAAAATATCAAAGGTTGAGGTGGGTCTTTGTGTAGCACCCCTGCTGCGCTTTGCTTTCTGGTTCCAGGCGAAGAAACATCAGATACCTTTAACTTTTTATATTAGAAATGAAATCTTACCTGCCCCCGTCTTCGTGGGCAAGGCTACCTCCCTTTCAGCCCTCCAAGTCAGATGAGTGACCCAGATGCACCCCCTAGGATGACTTTCTTGGGTAAAACTTGGGGAAAATATTTTTAGCCTGTTCATTATCTCTGTCTACCTAACTGTGGGGGAAAATAAGCTTCCTCTGCGGAGATCTGTTGAGGCTGCCCTGTCTTAGCCTTTTCTTGAATGTGAATTTGTACACGAAAGCTTTCCATTGTTTTTCAGTCTGGCTGCTTTGATTCTCACCATTTTGTTTTACATTCTTACCCAAGACCAATTTTATCCCTTCCCCCTCTCTCCAGTCTCCTTACATTGTTAAACGTTTAAAATAATAGCACTCGTGTTGGTGGGGGAAGGGAGCAGGAAGCCAAAAAAACTCATCTCTTCTCCCTCCCCCTTCTGGCAAGTCTAGAGAAATAATATAACATAATATATAGATGTGATTCCTTGGAGTGGGGGTGGGGAATGATTGTGGGTGGTGCGGAAAATTCTGGTAGTTTCTTTGCAAAAGGTCTGAAAATACAAACCCACCCCCTGCGTGCACTACGCATGTGCAGCAGACCTATTATGGAGGTTCGTTGTGGGGGAGGGAGGGGAATTTGAGAAAAAATAAATATATGTGTGAGAGATTGATGGTGAGATTAGAAGGAGCGAGGGGCGGGCGGGAGGCGCGGCTTGCGCCCGGGCTCCGCCCGCCGGGGTGGGCTGCCAGGCTCCGCCTCCCCCTCCCCGCCTTCCCGAGGTCTGAGCCGGGATGTGGGAGAGTCTGGGCTCCGGGCCAGCATTGAGTGCTGCTGAGACAGAGGTTGGGACTTAGATTTGCTTTATTACCCTCCCTTTCCTTTCCTCGCCATTCTCCTGCGCCTTTCCCCGCCGCCAGGGATGCCGGCCCTAGCTGGGGAACCTCCTGCTGGGCGGGGTGGTGTGGAGTTGACAGCCCTGGGCCCCGGCCGGGTGACCCAGGCCACTTCCCTGATCTTCAGCCAGCTGGCCTGCCCTTGCTGCTGCCCTGGCGGCCTCCATCCCATGTTCGCGTTAACCCAAGTCCCTGGGGTTGAGGGGAGCCTGGCGTCTTCCTGACTTTCTATGACAAGCGCAGCTCTTAGTTTTCACACCCGCTGCCGCAGACAGCCCCTTCCGCACCCGCACCCTGCACCCTTGCCCGCAGTGTCTTTCTGAGCAGGGCACATGGCAGGGCGCTGGAATGCAGAGGAAGGAGAGCCCTGGCGGAGGAAGTGCCTGGAGTTGGAGTCAGTGCAAACTGAGGCCGCCGGCGTGAAAGGGGGGCTGGCTTTTCTCTGACTGTTGAGGGACTGTTGTGTGGCCTAGAGCGAGGCCGCCAGGCCCAGGCTTTGCTCTCCTGCTCCCCTCCTCTGTCTGAACAACAGGACTTTGCTCTCCTGCTCCCCTCCTCTGTCTGAACAAGACAAGCCTGGCTGGTTAGGTCAGTGTTCGGTGGAGGGGGCTGTCTGTGTGGTGTGCCCCAGCCCTTGTGAGGAAGTAACTATCTGGCCCCTGAGCTCCAGCAGTCTGGCAGAGGCCTGGGAGAGTGGAGCTGGGGGGCACCAGGGAAGAGGCTCTGGGCGCTCTGGCAGAGTCTTCCGGGGAGACAGCCAGGTATGGGCGTCCTGGATTTGGACTCCTCTTGAGTGTGCACAGGCATTTAAAAGTGCGCATGCAGGGCGTCCCCTGTCTGTGCCTATATTTTGGTTTGGTTCGGTTTCCTGTAGGAATGGGGGTGGTGTTACATCTATTTTGCGTGAGACAAAACCCAGAGGTGAAGGGGAGATGGATCAGATTTGGAGGCAGAGTTCAGGCTGGCCGGGAGAAGGCTGTGGAGACGCGCTCCACAGGCGGACACTTCCTCATGGGCACACTGCCGCATAGGCAGCGCGGTAATCTGTGGACAAGAAGTGAAATGCCCAACTGGGCACTCATCCCTCCCCCAGCAGTGTGTTGGGGTGTTGGGGATGCCGGTGATTATCTGAGGAAATGTAAATAGAGGACGCCCTCTTGGCAGAGAGGCTGTCAGGGCCCCAGGGTGTGAGTGTGAGAACCCAGGTGTCCACCTTTGGCTCTCCCCTTTCAGCATCTGGCTTAGGGAGTTGCCAGCTTGTGTCTCCCCACTCCAAGTGCTGGGGTCAGGCCAGGCCAGCAGCTGGGCATGGCTTCCCCAGTTCCTGGGCAGCATGCCAGCTGGCAAAGTGAGAGGGAAGGCAGGAGGAGCCCTGGCGGCGACTGAAAGGACCCGCCACAGTCAGAGCCCGTGGCCTCGGGCCTGGGCCCTTGTTAGTAGGAGGGAGAGAAAGGAGTGGTTTTGGCCGCTTTTCCCTTCTGACCCCTGACCTTTCATTCAGAATCCAGAGCATCGCAGAGTAATTGAAATACTCTGATGGACCCCCATTTCCTGTGAAGGGCAGCGAGGTTTGGGGGTTAATGCCTGGTTTCCCAGAGCGTGGGGCTGAGGCAGAGGGGCAGAAGGTGCCGAAGGGATTTCAGAGGCTGCGAGCCTGGAGGGTTATTTTCTGTGCTCTTTGCTTCAAAGATAAGGATGACATTCGGCTGCTGTCTTCCGCATTGGGTGTAAAGAAAAGAAAGCGAGGACCCAAGAAGCAGAAGGAGAACAAGCCAGGCAAACCGAGGAAACGCAAGAAACTTGTGAGTGTTAAGAATTCCGAACTCTGAGGCGAGGCTCGGGAGACCCATACAAGGGACTACCATTTTCTCTGCCCCTGGCTAGCAGGCTGGGAGGTGCCCTGAGGGCAGGAAGCTTGGTCCGTCCCAGGCCCCTCCCGCATAGCCATGGCGCTGGGTCCAGCTCGCACATCCAAACCTAGTGAAGAGCCCCGCTGTTGATGTACGTGTCCTGTGGCAGAACTGCTTGACAGCACCGACTTGGAGGACGACTATGTGAACTAGGAAGCCGGCAGTTCTCTGTCTTCCTGGGCAATGTGTTTAGCTCTCTGTGCCTCAGTTTTCTTATCTTTATTTTATTTTATTCTCAAATCCATTTTATTTCAAGGATAAAAAGGAAAAAAACTACAACAAAATTTAGAGCATGTCAATCGGGGCAACAATGATGCATACATTGCACATTATCGTTTTCTTATTTTTAAAAATGGACAAATGTGCCTGGCGTGGGGCATACACCTGTATCTCAGCACTTAGGAGACTGAGGCAGGAGGATCGCCATGAGTTTGAAGCCAGCCTGAACTACATAGCGAGATCCTATCTCAAAAAGTAACAAAACGACAAAAAATAGATCGACAGTTGAGCTGCCACCCCATAGAATTGCTATGAAGATTTAAACAGACAACACGTTATGTGCTAAGTCGCTGGCACATGGCAGGGATGAATTGTTTGTTGTAATTTCTCTTCCTTAGGACAGTGAGGAGGAATTTGGCTCAGAGCGCGATGAATACCGGGAAAAGTCAGAGAGCGGAGGTAGTGAATATGGAGCCGGACCAGGGCGCAAACGAAGACGGAAGCACCGAGAAAAAAAGGAGAAGAAGACAAAGCGGAGGAAAAAGGGGGAGGGCGACGGTGTGCAAAAGGTGAGTGGAATTAGGGAGTGCGGGTGCAAGTGTGTGAAGGGTAGGGACTGTGCTTGGAGGGAGCTGGAAACTGGCGGGTGGGCACTGGGCCTGAGGGGTTGCTGGGACGCGCACCTCACCAGGACTGGCCGCTCAGCAGGTGGAGCAGAAGTCCTCGGCAGCCCTGCTTCTGACCTGGGGCCTGGAGGATGTAGAGCACGTGTTCTCCGAGGAGGATTACCACACCCTCACCAACTACAAAGCCTTCAGCCAGTTCATGAGGTGCGTGCGACTGGGCACCCGCTCTGACAGACACTTAATTTTAGGGAGGCCCTGGACTCCTCTGAAACCTGATCAGAGCTAAGAAACTGCTCTGCAGAGAAATTTCCAACACAATACATACGCCATTTTCACTTGTAATTTCAAGGCACTCTTGTCCAGTTAAGAATTCTTCACTCTGGGGCATGCGAGAGGCTGGAGATCTATGTCAGGTTAAGGAATTCTAGCAGCATAATACACTGAGGGCAGAAATGGTGAGCTCCCTCTTGCTCCTGCAGTTCCACGTCCCACTGTATGACCTCCCCAAACTGGCCCTGGAAGATACAATCAGGGTTCCAGAATTTCCATTTGGTTATCAAGTCCTCTGCCATTTCCTTAGGTCTGTTTTGCATGAGCTATAGTGATTTTTGAAGTAGAGAATAGTCAAGTTGTATTTTGGGGATGAAATACTTTATTTTACTTTATTTTATTTACTTATGTGTTTGCAAGACAGTTTCACGATGAGTTCGGGCTGGCCTTGAACTCACTTTGTAGCCCAGTTTGGCCTCAGGCTCTCGGTGATGCTCCTGTCTCAGCTTCCCAAGTGCTGGGATTCCAGGCGTGTGCCGCCGTGTCCGACTGGATGAAGCATTTTAGCATAGCAGCTCGGTACTCTGGTAGCAGCTGCTGAGACTTCAGGCTTGTTACTTAACTCTTTTAATCTCAGCTTTCTGATCAGTAAAACAGGAATCCTATTGGTACATAGCTCCTAAGTGTAGATTCGGTAGGATAATGACCGCAAAGCCCAAGTACAGCTGGTGCTCCTAGGAAGGGAGTGTCAGCTGGTTGCTGTCCTTAGTAATGTCTTACCTGTCTCACTTCTAAAGAGGGTGCTTTCGTCCGCACCAGGCCTTACACTGTCCTCGTAAGATTTAACACCGCACTCAGCGGAACAGTGTGTGCCTGTCTCTCCGGGCTAGTCCGTGGGAACCTTCAGGTCTCGTGCAACCTAACTAGTAAAATGCAGGGAGACATCGAAGAGTGTTACTGTGAGGATAAAACCAGACATGATGTATGTGAAAGTGTTTATGAACCGTGAAGTAGTATACAGCAGTATTCTGTGTTGATTTTACTCCTTCTTACATTTTTTCTTGTTTTTTGAGACAGGGTCTTTCTCTGTAGTTCAGGCTGGCCTTGCGCTCACTTTGTAGCCCTGGGTGCCCTCAAACTCATGCTGATTTCTTTGCCTTGGCCTCCCAGGTGCTTGAATTACAGGATGCACTATCATGTCTACATTTTGTGTTTTTTAAATCTATTTTCTTTTTCATACACTTTTTCAAACCTTTTCTTTCTGTTTTAAGCTTGTTTTATTATTTAAATTGATGGGGTTGTGTGTGTGTGTGTGTGTGTGTGTGTTTGGTTTTGTTTTTTTTGAAGCAGTGTCTCACTTGGTAGTTCAGACCGGCTTTGAACTCACTGTGTAGCCCAGGCTGCAAGCACTTGTGGGAGTCCTCTTGCCTCAGCCTCCCAAGTGCTGGAATATACCAGGTGCATTACCACGCATGGCAATGGGTTTGCTTTTGTGGGTTTTTTTTGGTAGAGCACCCAGAAATCCTAACACATGTTCGTGGTGGTAATTGATGTGGGGAGATGGACGGCAGTATTCCCAGGCCATCTGTGAAGGGAAGAGTTTTCTGCTTCTATATTTACAGGCCCCTGATTGCTAAGAAGAACCCTAAGATCCCAATGTCTAAGATGATGACCATCCTTGGGGCCAAGTGGAGAGAGTTCAGCGCTAACAACCCCTTCAAAGGGTCAGCAGCTGCTGTGGCAGCGGCGGCAGCAGCAGCAGCAGCAGCTGTAGCCGAGCAGGTGTCAGCTGCTGTCTCACCGGCCACCCCCATAGCACCTTCTGGACCCCCTGCCCTTCCACCACCCCCTGCTGCTGATATACAGCCCCCACCCATCCGAAGAGCCAAAACCAAAGAGGGCAAAGGTAGGAAACTCTTCCTCCAACAACTACCACCCCATCCTCCAGACTGCAGATCCAAGTATAGTGCAGAACTCTCGCCTTCCCTGTCCTAATTGCTGGAGGAGCAGTGCTTTCCATGGAGGGGTTCTTAGTGAAACCGTAGTCCACAGAGGAGTCCAGAGGCCCTTGTCACCTCCCGTCTTCTAGGATGTGTCATGGCCTCTGGTTCTTCTCTCCTTGTCTCTGCTATCACTCAGGTCCAGGCCACAAGAGGCGCAATAAGAGCCCCCGAGTGCCTGATGGCCGCAAGAAACTTCGGGGAAAGAAGATGGCACCCCTCAAAATCAAACTAGGGCTGCTTGGTGGCAAGAGGAAGAAGGCAGGCTCGGTGAGTAGTGCTTCCTGATCTGCTGCCCAGCCGGTGCCAAAGGCTGGGCTTCAGCAGAGGAGAGCCTGAGGGAGATGGAGTAGGGAGCCAGGGCCCTGGGCGGGGAGAAACTAAGTCTGCTTCTCTGACAGCCACGGGGCTGTGGGCAGTATGTTTTTCAGAGCGATGAGGGTCCTGAGCCAGAGGCTGAGGAGTCAGACTTGGATAGTGGCAGTGTCCACAGTGCTTCCGGTCGGCCCGATGGCCCCGTCCGAGCCAAGAAACTAAAGAGAGGCCGGCCGGGAAGGAAGAAGAAGAAGGGTAAGGGGCGGGGAGGGCGTGAGACCTGTTTAGCTCTCTTCCTCTCCTTCCTTTGCTGTTTTTCTTATTTCCAATTTTGGCTTTTGGCGTTCAAGCGCTCTCTCTTTCCCTCTATCAATCCTGTGTTTCTCTTATAATCCTTGTCTTTCTCTTGTTTCCTTTGTTCCCTTTGCCTTCACTGGGGTGTATGACAGTCCTGGGCTGTCCTGCAGTGGCCGGGGAGGAGGAGGTTGATGGCTACGAGACGGATCACCAGGATTACTGTGAGGTGTGCCAGCAGGGTGGGGAAATTATCCTGTGTGACACCTGCCCTCGTGCCTACCACCTCGTCTGCCTTGATCCTGAGCTCGACCGGGCTCCTGAGGGCAAGTGGAGCTGCCCCCACTGCGTGAGTACCTGGTACCCTCGGGCCCCAGCGGACCTTCCTTGCTTTCGGCTCTCCTCTTCCTGCCCCTAGATGCCTGGGCTCTTAGTAGCACATGTTTCAGCAGCTCGCATCCTAGTTGGGTGCTTTCCCCAGCCTTCTGCTTGCAGAGTAGACATTTTTGGAAATTGGGATGTCCTGTTTCTTGGACGTCTCCGCTATACTGATGGGGTTCAGGCATCTTGTCTTTGCAATCTCTCTCCTTATTTCCTTTCCCCCTACTATTTGGGTGTCTGTCTTTGCCCTCTCAGGAGAAGGAGGGTGTACAGTGGGAAGCCAAGGAGGAGGACGAAGAATATGAAGAGGAAGGAGAGGAAGAAGGGGAGAAGGAGGAAGAGGATGACCACATGGAGTACTGCCGTGTGTGCAAGGACGGCGGGGAGCTCCTGTGCTGTGACGCGTGCATCTCCTCCTACCACATTCATTGCCTGAACCCTCCCCTGCCTGACATCCCCAACGGTGAATGGCTGTGTCCCCGATGCACAGTGAGTAGAGCCGCCCCTCAGGATTTCCATCAGGCCGGACTCTTTCGCTCACCTCTGGGGCCCAGACATCTAACCTTTCCTTTCTCCGCCTTGCCCCTCGTGTACTTTTGTCATCCTACCAACGAGGGTCTCTCTCTGCCTCTTTCTTTTTTCCTTCCCTGAAGTGTCCAGTACTGAAGGGTCGTGTGCAGAAGATCTTGCACTGGCGCTGGGGGGAACCACCTGTGGCAGCAGCCCCCCAGCAGGCAGATGGGAATCCAGATGTCCCACCTGCCCGTCCTCTTCAAGGCAGATCAGAGCGAGAGTTCTTTGTCAAGTGGGTAGGCCTGTCCTACTGGCACTGCTCCTGGGCCAAGGAGCTGCAGGTACAAGGGCCGCTCCTTTCCCTTTCCCCCAGGCTCCGACCGCTGTCACTCTCGTTCCCTTACACCTCTATTCTTTGGCCTTCCATACCCTTTATTTTCCCTCATTTCAGGCCTTTGGTCCTGAGCCCTTCTGGCTTCCTCGTTTTCCTTATGTGTGTTCTCTTGGATTCTCTTTACCTCCGTCTCCATTCGTTTCCCCTCCTCTGCAGTTCTGTGAGATTTCTTTCCCTGGAGGTTACACAGCCTTCCTGGACTTCAGCCCTTTGCTTGCTTTCCCCCGCAGTTGATTAGTCTCCTCGGTGTTACCCCCTCCCGTGCCTTTCTGCTCCCTATGGCTCCGCTCAGGCCCTGGCTTCTGACTTTACTTCATCTGCTTATTTTATTCATTCTCCTACTTGGGCTTTGCTTGTTTGTCTCTCCGCCTTCTTTCAAAGCTTGCTTTGCCCATCCCCTTGCCCCCGTGTACTCCTCTGTCCTCTCTGGATGCTGGGGCTATTTCTTTCCCTCTCTCTCTGAATCAGTTGGAAATATTCCACTTGGTGATGTACCGGAACTACCAGCGGAAGAATGACATGGACGAGCCCCCGCCCCTGGACTACGGTTCTGGTGAGGATGACGGGAAGAGCGACAAGCGCAAGGTGAAAGACCCCCACTACGCTGAGATGGAGGAGAAGTACTATCGTTTTGGCATCAAACCAGAGTGGATGACTGTCCACCGGATCATCAACCACAGGTAAGCCTCCCTCCGAGGGAAGGCCCCCCCTGGGGATGACACTGTGACTGTGGCAGGGTATCTGTTCAGTCGCATCGAGCCTTAACAATCCCTGCTGTGGCTCCAGACCTGTTGGCCTTGCTTCCTGTAAGGCGACGGGAAAAACCAAGAGGAAAGCCCAGCCCAGAGCCACCTTACTGCCCTCGCTACCTCTGCTCCCCAGTAGCGGAAGGCATGACACATACGTTGGGGGTGTGGGCATAAAAGTACCATGAGAAGCGTGCTTCGTCTAGGGCAGTGTTTGCAAGCATTCTTTCTACAAATTCTGAATTACTGCTAATATTGTGCGCTGTATACATATATTTCATCCTGCCTTCCTTAGTAGAACGTGAGCTCCCTGAGAAGATAGGGTCATTTGTCTGTTTTATTCACTGCTGGACCTTGTGCCTAGAGCAGTACTTCATACATAGTAAACACTCCGGGAATGCTGACTGGGGGAGCAGATGGCCTCAGACTGCCCTCCGGGCACATTTTGTGATAGTTGGTGTTTAGATGCCATCCTGAAAAGGTTAACAGCACTTCAGCCATTCTAAAATTCTTTCTATTGGCCTCCCACTGAGGGTGAGGTGATAAACGCTGTGTGTTAGCTGATTCTTGTGTTTATCAGGACTTCTTGCTCTTCATCATCTGTGTTGTTTTCCTGTTTGTGGCCTCCTTCCCTATAGTGTGGATAAAAAGGGAAACTACCACTATCTTGTGAAATGGAGGGACTTGCCCTATGACCAGTCCACGTGGGAAGAGGATGAAATGAACATCCCTGAATATGAAGACCATAAGCAAAGCTACTGGAGACATCGGTGAGAGAGCGGGCCATGGATAAAGGTCTGAGGGTGGAGCGTGAAAACTAAGATGCAAATACAGCCGGGACAGACCCAAGCTAGAGTTCAGGGCAGTAGCAGCCCAGGATGGGTTGATTGGGTGGCGCCGGTAAAGAAGCCACATGAGGAACAGAAGTAAGAGAGGCCCGAGTAATGGGTAAGAGGATCCCTGCGAGTGAGAAGGATTAATTCTTGAGGTAAAATCCAGCGGGTAAGGGTAAAGTCTAAGAGAAAAGATGAGAAATCTAGGTTATGGACAGGAGAAGGCAGGTGTGGAATGAGCTGAAAACCGGGAGGGGTTCTAAGGGCTAGGCCTCACACAGACCTACTTTTTTCCCAGAGAACTAATTATGGGAGAAGACCCTGCCCAGCCCCGCAAGTATAAAAAGAAGAAGAAGGAGCTGCAGGGTGATGGACCTCCCAGTTCTCCTACTAATGATGTAAGACTCTTAGCTGGCTTTTTCCCATCACTGGAGTCGTGTTGATTGAGTATTTCCCTGGTATTATAGACAGAAATTCCCAGAGTTCCAGCAGCTTCTTTGAAGAGTAGCTCTTCAGTCAGCCTCTAGCCTTGCCCTGAGACCAGTCAGGAATTTTGACAGAAGAGTAAGAGAAGTGGTAGAGATAGCAGCTCAGTGGGGCTCTTCCACCAGCCAGGGTGCTGCTGAGTGTTACTTTATGGAATGAAGGGGAGAGACTGATGACTAGGACTTCATCAGCTCAGGCCATCGCAAAGGGAATTGCAATCCATTTGATACCAGTGTCAGGGAGGAGGCAAGAGGAGACCAAAACAAGAGGAGCCCCCAGCTGTTGCATTGAGCTTTCTGACTTACTGATTCTATAGCCTACAGTGAAATACGAGACTCAGCCACGGTTTATCACAGCCACTGGAGGCACACTGCACATGTATCAGCTGGAAGGCCTGAATTGGCTACGCTTCTCGTGGGCCCAGGGCACTGACACAATTTTGGCTGATGAGATGGGGCTGGGCAAGACCATCCAAACCATCGTCTTCCTCTACTCACTCTATAAGGAGGTGCTGAATTCTCTGCTCCCATTTGGAGTGGGTGGGTGAAGCTGAGACCCAGCTTGGATGAAGGCAGGGGGTGGAGGAGAAGGGCCACAGCAAGTGGCAGATTGAGATGTCCACTTTGCAGCCTGGACTAAAGGCCCCATCTTTGACTCCCAGGGCCACACGAAAGGTCCCTTCCTGGTGAGTGCCCCGCTGTCTACCATCATTAATTGGGAGCGGGAGTTCCAGATGTGGGCACCCAAGTTCTACGTGGTGACATACACAGGCGATAAGGATAGCCGCGCCATCATTCGTGAAAACGAGTTCTCCTTTGAGGACAATGCTATCAAAGGTGGCAAGAAAGCTTTTAAGATGAAGGTCAGCCCCTGTACCTTACGTGCTCTAAACCCCTCACGTCTCGTTTCTTGGCCCAGGTTCAGTTTTCCCGTCCCCACTCGCCCTTCTCCCTCCTTTGTTCCACCTGTTCTCCTTCCTCTGCATTCCGTAGTAGGTACTCCCTGGTGTGCGTGCACCTGTCAGTACACACATACAGGGGCAAGTTTTGAGGGTCATGGTCAGTAATCCCAGCTTGGATTTGAAGTGGCAGGACAGAATAACTGGCTTCCTGTGGGAGCTGCAGTAAGGACAGGGTGTCTGGGTGAAGAACGAGGGTTGGAGTTGTAGGTGCATAAGTGGCAGGTGGCTGCTGAATGGCAATGTTCTGTTGGCAGAGGGAGGCACAGGTGAAGTTCCACGTTCTCCTGACATCATATGAGTTGATCACCATTGATCAAGCAGCGCTTGGTTCCATCCGGTGGGCCTGCCTTGTGGTGGATGAAGCCCATCGACTGAAGAACAACCAGTCAAAGGTAGGATAAATTCCCAGAGCTGAGAAGTTTGAGAGCTTGAGGCTGTGACCTCCCATTTTCCCAGAGAGACAGAGACAGAGACAGAGACAGAGACAGACAGAGTGAGTGTGTTCTGGGGACTTTTTACAGTCTGAGAGGCAGAGTTCCTAGAAACCTCTGGTGGCCAGTCTAGAGAATTTGGACCTCTGATCCTGAAGGAAATAGGAGGTGGGGTCAACACAGTGGGTCATCCACTTCCCACTGATAAGGTATGTGCCCCTACATGTCTGTGCCCCATCTTACAGTTTTTCAGGGTTCTCAATGGCTACAAGATAGATCATAAATTGCTGCTGACAGGGACTCCACTACAGAATAATCTGGAGGAGCTCTTCCATCTGCTGAACTTCCTCACGCCGGAGAGGTTTAAGTAAGTGATTCTCCAAGAGCTGGCAGAAGATTAACTTCAGGTGGAAGAGAGATTGGGATCCTGGACAAAGAACTTAACCTGTTCATTTCTTTATCTCCTCCTGCACTTAGCAACTTGGAAGGTTTCCTGGAGGAATTTGCTGACATATCCAAGGAGGACCAGATTAAGAAATTGCATGATTTGCTGGGGCCACACATGCTGCGGAGGCTCAAGGCGGATGTCTTTAAGAACATGCCAGCCAAGACCGAGCTCATTGTTCGAGTGGAGCTGAGCCCAATGCAAAAGTGAGACATAGTGCAGGCCACCTGGTGGGCCACAGTGGGAGATTTGGAGGGAACTTTCCAAGGATGGGTGATGAGGTGCAGTGTTACAATTGCTTCCTTTATTATGTCTCTTCTATACCCCACCCTGATCTTTAGGAAATACTACAAATACATCCTGACTCGAAATTTTGAAGCCTTGAATTCACGAGGCGGTGGGAACCAAGTGTCACTGCTTAATATCATGATGGATCTTAAGAAATGCTGCAACCACCCATACCTCTTTCCTGTGGCTGCTATGGTAAATGCAAAGAGCAGGGACCTACTCCAATGCTTGATGCTGTGGAAAGCTAGGAAGGGCGCTGTGAGTGAGCACAGGGGCAGAGCTAAGCCAGAAGTCAGGGACCTGGTCGCCAGAGCGGGGTGGGACTTGGAAAGGTACCGAAGCTGGATCTGGGCTTTTGGCTTCTAGGTGAAGTAAGAATAAGGAGGCATGTTTCCCAGTCTATTCTCCCCTTTTCTCTTCCCTTTTCAGGAGTCCCCAAAACTCCCCAGTGGGGCTTATGAGGGTGGAGCGCTGATTAAGTCATCAGGGAAGCTCATGCTGCTGCAGAAGATGCTGAGGAAGCTGAAGGAGCAGGGCCACAGAGTGCTCATTTTCTCCCAGGTGCTCCTCCCTCCACGCGCGCTGTCTGCTCTCTTCTTACCAGCCACATTTTAGCTGTTGACGTCTTCCTGCAGCTGGTCTGGCATAATAGATTAGGCCGTCCTGTCTGTAGGAGTGTCTGGCGCAGTTTGATCGTTCTTGCCTACTGCTCCTGGCTCCTAAGGATGCTGGAAATTGCAGTCCAGCTCCTTTTTAGCTCTACAGGGGTAGGGTGCCTTCTTGGTACCAGCCATTTCTTTACCTTACTGGTGAATGAGGATGAATTCTCCGAAATCTTTCTGTGGGTCTCAGGGAAACTCTGTCTTAGGAGAAAAAATCTTAAACCAAGAGAGTATTGGAAGAATGTAGAAAAGTGAGAGACCAGGGATGGCCAGAAGAAATATACCCAGGGGTTTAAGACAGTGCAGTGGTTCACAGGTAAGGATTAGGGTTGAGTTACAGTAAAAGGATAATTCAGATAACCCATCCAACCACATTGACATTTCAGACTCCTTTTCTTTTCCCTTCCTCTAGATGACCAAAATGTTAGACTTGCTGGAGGACTTCTTAGACTATGAAGGCTACAAGTATGAGCGCATTGATGGTGGCATCACTGGTGCCCTGAGGCAGGAGGCCATTGATCGGTTCAATGGTGAGGGGAAGTGCCTTGGTTGCCTTGGTCCCTGGTGGGCCTCAGAGGCTCAGGAATCCTGTGCCATGTCCCTAGGGTGGAGGGAGGTTGGAATGGGGAATGGTGGATACTGAGGCTTTGAGTTGGAGGCATGGTTGATTGTAGTAGAGGACATCTAGCAGCAGACTGCTAGGTACAGGAAAAACTTGACCTAATTCTCACCTCCTAGCTCCTGGGGCTCAACAGTTCTGCTTCCTTCTGTCTACCCGGGCTGGGGGCCTGGGTATCAATCTGGCTACTGCTGATACTGTCATCATCTTTGATTCTGACTGGAACCCCCATAATGACATCCAGGTAGGAACTTACACCCCTGTACCTTTCAGCAGGCAAATGTGGGTTCAGAGAGGCTGCTGTCCTACTCAGTGAGGGATTAGATAAATCTCTTTGGAGAGGAGAAAGGGCACTCTCCACCCAGCCTCATTTCCCAACATTGGCTGCTTCTCCCTGCCACTAACCTGACCCACCCGCACTTTGTCCCTCCTGTTCAGGCCTTCAGTCGGGCCCACCGAATTGGCCAGGCCAACAAAGTGATGATTTATCGGTTTGTGACCCGTGCGTCTGTGGAAGAGAGGATTACACAGGTGGCCAAGAGAAAGATGATGCTGACACACCTGGTTGTGCGGCCGGGGCTGGGCTCCAAGGCAGGCTCCATGTCCAAGCAGGAGCTTGATGACATCCTCAAATTTGGCACTGAGGAGCTGTTCAAGGATGAGAATGAGGGTAAGAACTTTCTCTGCTGCTCCCTGAAGGCAAGCCTCTGCTCCCTTTCTGCAATCACCCTGAAATAGTGCAGACTTTGCATCCAGGCTGTAAAGGAAGAAGGCCTTTTTTCCAGGGGTCCTTAGAGTAGACTTGGCTTTCTAAACCAACAAAACAAAAATGCCTTCCAATGGGCTCCCAGGGAAAGCGCCTTCCATCAGGACCTTGCAAGAAAGAGGCAGCGCAGAGCCTTGCCTCTGCCCTCGCTAAAGTTGTGTTTGAGCTTCTGATTGGAACTCTGATTTCCCTTTTGTTCCTGTCTCCACCAGGAGAGAACAAGGAAGAGGACAGCAGTGTGATTCACTATGACAATGAGGCCATCGCTCGGCTGCTAGACCGGAACCAGGATGCAACCGAGGACACTGATGTGCAGAACATGAACGAGTATCTCAGCTCTTTCAAAGTGGCACAGTATGTTGTGCGGGAAGAAGACAAGGTGAGACACTGGGCAGATCCTCTCTATCCCAGGCCATCTTTAAAAGATGGTGTTATTTTACCAAACCTTGAATTATTAGGGGTCTCCCTTCTTATTTTTGGTGTTCTCAACATAGTCCCCAGCAAAGATTGATAGTGGACCTCAAGCAACTGCTTAGTCTAATAGATGAGACAGGACTTTGGAGACAGACTTGGCACAGAAAGTTCTGATAAACACAGAAAGGTACTCCTGATTTCAGCGCAGGGGGAAGATAGAGGAAGATAGAGGAGGACAGGATTAGAGAAGAGGGCAGGAATGCAGAGACAGAAGCACACTGTAGGTAAAAGACGGTAGGGGAAGTGTGTGACATCTCACAAACTTGCTGCCGAGCTGAGGAGATCTGGGAGCAGTGAGTGGGCAGGATTTGGCCAAGGCAGGAGAGTAGGAGTTTTGATGCCACCCAAGGACTGGCAAGAAAAGAGGCTGCAGCCTTTACTCTGCTGCCCTACAGATTGAGGAGATAGAGCGAGAGATCATCAAGCAGGAAGAAAACGTGGATCCTGACTACTGGGAGAAGCTGCTGAGACATCATTATGAACAGCAGCAGGAAGACCTCGCCCGGAACCTAGGCAAGGGCAAGCGAGTCCGCAAGCAAGTCAACTACAATGATGCTGCCCAAGAGGACCAAGGTGAGGACTGCCTTAGAACGTTAGAGATGCCAAAGGACAGGATGAGGAGGGCCTTCCCTGCTAACGGGAAAAGTGTCACAAAGGGTCAGCAGGAATTATCCCAAGGTCAGGTGGCTTTGCAGAGGGACCCTGAAGATCTCCAGGGGTCACTGCTGATAGCAGCTTCCCCTGCTGCGTCACTCTTCAGGCACTGAGGGTGGCACAAGCATGAGGTGCCCAGAGACCAAGGAGGTAGTACAGGTGGCTCAGGATAAGTGGTCCAGAGCCAGGCCTCAGGCGGTGAGAACCTCAGTGTCCCTGGGAGGACCAAGGCTGGAGTGGAGGTCGGGAAGTCCCCATGGTCAGGAGTCCAGGCAGAAAGACCCCAGTGTGTCGCATCCAAGAGTCATCTCTATACCCCACAGATAACCAGTCCGAATACTCTGTGGGTTCAGAGGAAGAAGATGAAGACTTTGACGAGCGTCCTGAAGGTGGCGTGCTTTCCTGACTTTCTGCCTTAGCTCTCCGCATGGCACTTCCCAACTGTTCTGTTGCTGTTTTTGTTTTTTGAGTCAGGGTCTCACTTTGTAATTGAGACTATTTTGAGCTGACTATATGCACCAGGCTAGCCTTGAACTCATGGTAATCCTCTTACCTTAGCTTCCTAAGGGCTGAGATTACAGGTGTGTGCCACCATGTCCATCCAGCTCAACTATTTTTATACAAATAAAAATGCTAAAAGAAAGAAAAGAATAAATGTCCATAATCTCTCTCCTGTTAAATTTGGAGTGTTAACCATGTAGGCTTAGATGCTTCCAAATCCAGAAAGGTAGCTGAGTATGGTGGCATATATGTATAGTCTGAGATACTCAAGAGGCTGAGGCAAGAGGATTGCTTAAGCCCAGAAGTTCAAGGCAACCCTGGGAAAAATATCAAGACCCCAGTTAAAAAATACAAAAACCAAAAACCAATTCAGAAAGGTAACATTATTGTACCCTCCCGCCAGTTATCCTGCCTGCCTGTGTTGAATATTTCCTGTTAGTTTTTAACTGTAACTTCTTTTAGACTTCTTGGGCTGGTACTTGTGAAGCGCTCAGAAGGAAGTAAGAAGTGAACGTGACCCAGACTGTTCTGTGTTCTGTGTCTTGTGGGCATAGGTTGTGGGGGAGGCCTGATGCTGAGAGAGGGTGGTGGCTCAGTTAGCAACTGACTTGTCACCTATACCTTCAGGGCGTCGACAGTCCAAAAGGCAGCTCCGAAATGAGAAGGATAAGCCGCTGCCTCCACTGCTGGCTCGAGTTGGGGGCAACATAGAGGTGAGAATGGGCCCAGGGCTGTGTGTTCCCTAAGCAGAGAACGAGGACTTGGCACGGGTGAAGGGAAATCGATGTCGGGGTCAGCGAGGGTAGAAAGGACGAGGCCTGAGGCCCTGACGGCCTCCGCCTCCTTGCCCCACCCCCAGGTGCTGGGATTCAACACCCGCCAGCGGAAGGCCTTCCTCAACGCCGTGATGCGCTGGGGGATGCCCCCACAGGACGCCTTCACCACGCAGTGGCTGGTGCGGGACCTGAGGGGCAAGACCGAGAAGGAGTTTAAGTGAGTGCGGGCGATCAGGGCTGAGTGCACAGCGAGGGAGGACCTGGGTGTTGCTTCCTTCCTCCTGGCCGCCATGTGATGTGACCTTACTCACCTGAGCACCACGTTCCCTGCCCGAATAGTATGTCCTGGCTTGGTTTCCTGGGAGGTGGGCTCAGCCTATTCCACCTCCCCTCAGCCGAGCCTAGAGCAGAGGCCTGGCGTCCTCCCTCATGGGAGAGGCAGTTGAGGAAGGACCTTCTCCTGGGCTGGCCTAGCCTCACACTTACTTGGCCATGATAACCTGGCAGGAGGAACTTGGTGGAAAAGATGAAGAGCTGACTGATGGGGCCTAGGAATGGAATACAGTACCACGGCCCAGGAGGTGCAGAGGGGCTGAGGGAGAGTTAGATGGGGAGTCAAGATTTGGAGTGCTGATGAGATGAGAGGCCCGTGGAGAAGTCCTGGAGGCCCCTGGGGAGTCGAGGTCCAGGGTGTCCGTGATCTCTGTGCCTCCGTTGGTGCCTCATTCACCTTCTAAGGCTTCCCAACCTTTGTCCCCCCACCTCCACGGTCCTCAGGGCATATGTATCTTTGTTTATGCGCCATCTCTGTGAGCCTGGGGCCGACGGCTCTGAAACCTTTGCTGATGGGGTCCCTCGGGAGGGCCTGAGTCGCCAGCAGGTGCTGACCCGCATCGGAGTCATGTCTCTCGTCAAGAAGAAGGTATCAGTCTCCTTTACCTTGAGACGCCTTCTGGCTGCTTTTGCTTTCTCTTCCTCTGCCTTCTGTCCTGGGTTATGTGCTCGGGGTGGTACAGACGGAACCAGAGCTTCCTGTGTGACTAATGCCCGGAGCTGAACCCTGTTCCTAAAACACCCCTTCCCTAGGTGCAGGAGTTTGAGCACATCAATGGGCGCTGGTCAATGCCAGAGTTGATGCCTGACCCCAGTGCAGACTCCAAGCGCTCCTCCAGAGCCTCCTCTCCCACCAAAACATCTCCCACCACTCCCGAGGCTTCAGCTACCAACAGTCCTTGCACCTCTAAACCTGGTAATCAGGAGCTGGGCTGGCAGAACAAATAAAAACCAAGTCGGGATGGGGGAACCTCTGCCTTTCTGATTAGTCTGTTTTGCGTGACATAATGAGATACAGGAGACTGAGTAACTTTATAAAGAAAACAGTTTCTCTTAGCTCATGGTTATGGAGGTCGAAGGTCAAAAGGCCACATCTGGTGTGGGCTTTCTTGCTAGCAGAGCCCCAAGGTACAGCACATGGCAAGGGTATGCATGCGTGTTCTGGTTTCTGTCCTCCTTAGAAGCCACTAGGATTTAGTCCTTATCTGATCCTCGTCACCTCCCAGGGCTCCTAAATACCATACTCTCCTAGCACCTGACACAGGGCCTAAGGTCCAACACACCAACCCTTGGCCTACCTTTCAGCCTTGCTAAAAACCTTAGCACTGGCTTTGCCTCCCCCTGCAGCTACCCCTGCGCCAAGTGAGAAAGGAGATGGCATAAGGGTGCCTGCTGAGAAGGATGAAGCCGAAAACCATGATGAGAAGTCAGAGAAGAACAGCAGAACTGGAGAGAGGATGGAAGCAGAGGTGCATGCCGCCTGGCACCCCCTGAGGAGACAGGAGGGATCTGCAGGGGCCTGGCAGCCAGGGGCCTGGGAACCCTTCGGCTCTCCTGACTCTCTTCTACTCCAGGCCGACGTCCCCAGCCCAGCCCCATCACTCGGGGAGCAGCTGGAGCCAAGGAAGATTCCTTCAGAGGATGAAGTGTCAGGGTTACCTGGAGAGACGGAGCCCGAACCTGGGTACCGAGGGGACAGAGAGAAGTCAGGTGGGCGCATGGCCTTGGTGGGGATGAAGGGATTAGAATTTGGGAGTTCCCGGGGATGAGGTGACATCCTCCCTTTCCATCCCTTCCTCCCTCCCACAGCCACAGAGTCGATGCCAGGAGAAAGGGGGGAGGAGAAGCCGTTGGATGGACAGGAACACAGGGAGAGGCCGGAGGGGGAAACGGGGGATTTGGGCAAGAGAGGTAATGGGTGAAAGGGCTGGACATCTGGCTCCCTGAGGTGGTCGGGGAGGTGCATTGGGGTCCCGAAGGCCTGGTTCTCGGTGGGTAGCTATGGGGAGGCCGGGACAGTACAGTACAAGGGGTTAGTCCTGGGATATTGGAGGGTCTGTTCTGATGTGTGTGCTGTATCCCATCTGCCCTAGCAGATGTAAAAGGGGACCGGGAGCTTCGACCTGGGCCTCCTAGAGATGAGCCACGCTCCAACGGGCGCCGTGAGGAGAAGGTGGAGAAGCCCCGGTTCATGTTCAATATTGCTGATGGTGGTTTCACAGGTGGGGAAGGTTCTTACCTCTGTCTGGTCCTCACTAGGACCTGCCTGTCCTTTTGAGGTTTCTCATTTTGCCTGAGGCTGCCTGCTGCCTTTAATTCTGAGAACCTTCCAGTGAAATGGTGCATGCTGTCTCTGATCCTTGTTCTGAGTCTCTCTAAAGTGTACCACCTAACTCCCCAGCTGTCTAATCCCACCTTTTGTTTCAGTCTTAACCTGGACCTTGTTTGTAACTAACTTTATTCTTTACCTTTAATGTAGCTTTTACCAGCTCGCCCACGGGAGCCCTTGGTACTCTGTCAAGTTCCTGTTTATACCTGTCTGTCAGGTTGGATGTGGTTTGCAAGCCCTTGATGCTTTTTCTGTTCGTTGTCCTTTCTTTAGAGCTTCACACCCTGTGGCAGAATGAGGAACGGGCAGCCATTTCCTCAGGGAAACTCAATGAGATTTGGCACCGAAGACATGACTATTGGCTGCTGGCAGGGATTGTCCTGTATCCTTTGATACAGAGCAAGAAAAAGGTTCTCTTACACAAGAGCTAGGGCAACTTCAGAGAAGAGCCTCCTACAGGGGAGGGCAGCTGTGCTCCGCTTTAGGGAGATCGTGGGTAAGAGGAACAGTGTTCACAGCCGAGCCATCCCTGTTAAATTCCTTGACGGTCCCCTTTCCTTCATCGGCAGCCACGGCTATGCACGGTGGCAGGACATCCAGAATGATGCGCAGTTTGCCATTATCAACGAGCCATTTAAAACTGAAGCCAACAAGGGGAATTTTCTGGAGATGAAAAATAAGTTCCTGGCCCGGAGGTTCAAGGTGGGGATAAGGGAAGAAAGGAAGAGTGTTCATGAGGGGCTTGGGTTAGCAGGAGGACCCGACCTTCTCACACCCAGGAAAGGAAGGCTGAGGCCGAAAGCAAAGTTAACCTTGTGTTGGAAACTCTGGCCTGGGTTGGGGTTGATGCTGGGGTCAGGGTCAGCGTGGAAAGGAGACGGGGAGCCGTGGCAGCAGTGAGTCTCCAGTGTGCCATCCTGGCCCCATGTCACTCAGTCGCCTTCACCCCACCTCGTGCCTGCAGCTCCTGGAGCAGGCGCTGGTGATTGAGGAGCAGCTGCGGCGGGCGGCCTACCTGAACCTGTCACAGGAGCCGGCGCACCCCGCCATGGCCCTCCACGCCCGCTTCGCCGAGGCCGAGTGCCTGGCCGAGAGCCACCAGCACCTCTCCAAGGAGTCGCTGGCGGGGAACAAGCCGGCCAACGCTGTCCTGCACAAGGGTAAGGGCCGCGGTGGCCCCGCGCGGGGGAGGGCCCACAACACTGCGTAAGTCTTCACCCTGCACCCCTTTAAATCTTCCCACCCCTACCCCTCTACCCTCTGACCTCTAACCCTACTCTGACCCTCCTGGCACCCTCTTGGTTTTCAGCTTCTAGTACTTGTGCAAACCCACCCTCCTCCTTGCCTGAGAGTGTTCATGTCACTGCCCAGCAGGGACCTCCCCCCGTGCATGTTCCCTCCACACAGCGGGATTTCTTCTCTGGCCGTGCCGCACACCTGCCACGCTGCTAATGTCACCCAGTTTGAGAAGGAGCTCTTGACTTTACCCCCTAAGTGTCCTTAGCTTTGGTCTCACAGGTCCCGTGCCTTCACACCACCTCTCCTCCCAGAGGCAGAATGTCTGCCTCTCAGAGCCCACCCTGTGGAACGTCCCTTCTCCCACAGCCCGTCACCTTGACACCTGTGGGTTAAATCCCAGAGCCATACCCGTGTAGTGACTGGCTCTGGCCCCTTTGATCCCTGTCCTAACTCCTTAATCTGTACCGCTGACCCTTTAACCTCCTCCCCCCGCATATGTTAACACCGCGATTCCTGTAACCTTTGACACTCGCATGCCTCCTGACTATTCCCTCATCCCCCAACCCCTAACCCTTGTCCTTCCAGTAGGGGACATTCTCACAACTGTCCGCCCATGTCTTCCAATCCCTCCCTGACCTGCCTTCTCCCCACTCTCCTCTCTCTCTCTCCGTCTGCCTTCTGTGGTGGTCTGGCCTCTCTTACCTTGACACTTCTCCACCCCACCCCACCCCGAGTTGCTCTTTTTGTTTTTTTCCTACTTCCTGTTACTTCTGTCACTTGGCCTGTGGTTCCTTAACATCTTTATCATCCTGTTTCTCTCTTCTGACTGCATCTGTCCATATGACTCCTTGTCACTTTTCCTGGCTCCATCTCTCTCTCCCTCTCTTGCCCTTCTTTCTCCGTGGCCCGGGCCCCAGTTCTGAACCAGCTGGAGGAGTTGCTGAGCGACATGAAGGCGGACGTGACCCGCCTGCCAGCCACGCTGTCCCGAATACCCCCCATCGCAGCCCGCCTTCAGATGTCCGAGCGCAGCATCCTCAGCCGGCTGGCCAGCAAGGGCACGGAGCCTCACCCCACACCGGTAACCCTCTTTCCCCCTCACTCATTTTCCCTGTTGGTGCACACACGCGCACACACACACACACACACACACACACACTCCTATGCCGTACGGAAAAACCACCTGCTAGACCACGGTCTTCACCCTCCAGTGCGTCTCCCTGCTTGTCCCGCCCGCAGTAGTTCTGGAGAGGCTCCTGTTCCCAACAGCTGCTCGTCTCTCAGAGACTATGACTTGACTAACCTCAGCTTGCTCTCTGTTCCAGGCCTTTCCCCCGGGTCCCTACGCCACACCTCCGGGGTACGGGGCGGCCTTCAGCGCCGCACCCGTAGGGGCCCTGGCCGCCGCAGGCGCCAATTACAGCCAGATGCCGGCAGGGTCCTTCATAACAGGTCAGCTGGTGGTTTCCAATCCCTGCTCCTCTCATTCTCCCTCTGCCCAGCTTCCTGCCTGCTTGGCTCCCTGCCCTCCAGCCCATCTGTTTTTTCTGGAAGTATCCAGTGTGTTAGGGATTTGAGTTGTTCTGGGCTTTGTGTTACTCTCATTGTCAAAAGCCTCACCCAAGATTTCAGTGATTCTGTGATGACCTCTGGGTCACCTCAAAGAAAGGGAAATCAGAAGGGGATAGGAGAACATCAGCCATGTGGCAGGGGGAAGCTCAGGAAGAAGTGCTTGCCACCCTGATAGCCAGGAAAATCACAAGTGTCAGGATGACCCAGAAGTGAGAATATGCTTTGTCAGGGTGACTTGGGAATTGACTGTTCCTCACTCCCTTCCTAAACAGCCGCCACCAACGGCCCTCCAGTGCTGGTGAAGAAGGAGAAGGAAATGGTGGGGGCACTGGTGTCAGACGGGCTGGATCGGAAGGAGCCCAGAGCCGGGGAGGTGATCTGTATAGACGATTGACTGGGTCCCAGGCGTGCTCTTCACCCAGGCCCCGATCCCGAGGCCGACCCCCTGCCCAGGCCCTGGGGCCTGCCGCCAACCCTCCACCTTCCCCACCTGCTGGGCCACCGCTGGGCTAGGTGCCCTTCCGCCCCTCTATCACTCTATCTCCAAGAAGGGCCCCCCGTCTTTCTCCACCCTCGTGCACCTTTCCCACCAAGCTCTGAAGACTGCTGGCGTGAGGAGGTGCGGAGTGGGATGGTTAGCAGGGTCTCAGATACCTTTATCCCCCACTGCCAGCTATACACAGCTTCCCAATAAACGGTTGTGGGGAGGAAGAGGTGGAGCCTCCCTGGTCTCTTTCTCTACACCGCTAGCTCCTCCTCCCGCAGCAGAGGGTACCCGCCATGCCTGGCCTTTCGAGAGACTTTCATGGGGAGGAGTTTCAGAGAGGGGGACTTTGAGAGAGGATGAACACGAGCCCCTGGGAGGGAGAAGGGAAGAGGAGGGGTGGCCGCATGTCACTTCCCCCTCTCCCCACATGGAGGGTGGAGCAGCTACAAGGAGGAAGGCAGCTGCTGTTCAGCCTCCCAATAAAGGCGCCATTTACTCGCTACCCAGTTATCTCCTGTGTACCAGCATCTTGTGTTGGGGACGTTCCCTCCTCCCTAGGCACCAAGGACCACCCCCAGCAAAAAGTCATAGTTGGATGGTAACTCCCTCAAGCCAAAGAGGAGCTCCCCAACCTGTTCTAGGAACCCAGGTAACCTAGACAAGGCGGGAGAACTGGCCAGACCCGGGGGCAGTGCCCACACTAGGGCTCAGGTTCCTGGGGGACTGCTGCCCTCCCTCATCCAGGCCTGGACAGACTAAACGTGAGCCATGCAGGCAGGGGGCCTAGTCAGGGGACACTTGATTCTGGGACCGGAGCAACACAGTGGAGGCCGGCTGGGGAGCTGTGGGCACACGCCCCTCCCTGGGGGGTAGGGAGTGGCAGTTTGCATGGCAAACCTCCCACTTCCCCTTGGCTGCCCCTTCCCTTTCCCGCTTCCCCTTCCAGTCTCTTCACACCCACTCCTGGTCTGTCCCACCCCCTCTTCTGTATCAGGTTTATTGGTTGTACATATAAATTATACTTTCCTTTCTGTGTGCTGTTATTTTTGGCTGGGGGAACTCGAGGGAGGGCAAGGGATAAGGATTGCTTTCTACCATTTCATACTCATTTTTCACTTTAAAAAATTTTCAATCTTGTGACTTTTTCTCTGCCTTATTTTTATCTCTTGGATCCTCTAAAATTGAAGTCCTCTTTTCCACCCCAGCCATGTGATGAGCTCAGTGTAAGGATGGAGGTTGACTATCTGGACCCCTGCTGTGCCCCTGTAGCCTCGCTTCAGTGCAGAAGGGGAGAAGGGCTTCCTGGACAGAAGTGCAGCAGTACTGACAAGGTTCAAAGCTGCCTTCCATTCCTTCTGATCTCTCATCAGCCTTTCCACCTTCAAATTGTCAGTTCCCTAAGAGACAGTAGGGGTCGCTACAGCCCCACAGATTCAAGCCCATTGTGAAGCACAGGTGGTTTTTTAAGGAGGTGCAGTCAGACTTGTGTAGCTTGCCAAAGATTTCAACTGCTAGACATTTCTTGGCACATACTGTTCACTAACAAATCCTCCCAGAGAAGAGTAAGGCCACTTAGTTCTTGACATTATATTAAAAAGAGATATCCAACAAATATTTATTGAGTGCATAATATACATTAATACTGCTGTTGGGCCTGGAGACAAAACTTACAAGTCACTCGTCGCTCTCATAGAGTAGGGGACAATTACAGAAGGTGAAACACTAGGAAATTAGTAAAACCGCAGGAAGGCAATCATGTAATACAGAGGATAGGGAAAGAGGCTTTCAAAAGGGAACGTAACGGTAGGAAATAGCAAAGCGTAATTTTCAAAAAGATGTTTATATCCAAAAATGGATACATTTATGATCTGTCCCTCAAACATAAACCTCGGAGGCCCCTAATTGAGGGGCCCCTAATTGAGGTCTATACTTAAATACACATTTTTAACTCAGAAAAATGTAAACTGTCTTCAACAGAATGCTATAGAGGGAACTTACAATAAGACACTATAACATTACATAGTAAATATTATACCTACAGATAGTGATACAGTAGTGTGTCCAGGATCCAGACTAGTGCTTCAATCTGTATGCACATGAGTCACTGGGACTGTTAAAAAGTGCAGTCTAGGGACTGGGGATTTAGCTCAGCGGCATAAGCACCTGCCTTGCAAGCAGGCGGTCGTGAGTTCAATCCCCGCTAATGATTTAAAAAAAAAAAGTGCAGCCTAAGTGGGGGTAGAATCCAGAAATTCTACATTTCCAGCAAGCTCCCAGTGACACCAGTGCTGGTTCCCCACCATGACTGGAAGCAATTCATGCCACACAACAGGTGGTGTCCTACCATAGGACGCAAGTTTAAAATTATATAAGCATGTTTTCCAGTAGTGCCAGTGTCCTTGTGAACACAGATATCAAAATTTTATATGGCGATGCTCTCTCCAAATGGCGCTCTTTCCAGTCTTGATAAGCCTTAGTCGGATGCCTCACATAAAAGGCCACTGAACCTTCTACCACTTGCCCTAGCAGGCTGAAGGCAGATTGAGAAATGAAGCGAGGCTCTAATCATAACACGGAGGCATCACAGTAATTTCTGGAATACGACTGGGAGTGGGGAGACAGCAGGCACATGAGTGTCCTTACATGCCAGAGAAGTGAGATTACCATGACTTCCCATCTTTTTTAAAATTGCAAACCACTGACAACTGCTAAAATGAGATCTGTTGCTCCCACATACCACAGTCACGCTGGACAGAAGCCAAACCCAACAGCCTGTTTTCTTCCTACTGTAACGTAGGCTTCGTTTACATTGTCTCTGGACTACTCCATCTTGCAAATGCAATGCTGGCACAATCAGTACATGCGGGCAAGTTAGTCTTGGGCCTTCCCCAGCTCAACATCAACAACCTCCCGGGGTGCTCCCTCCAGCCCTCGGCTCAACTCCCTCACGCACTCCAATCTCAGGACAGAGAAGTGTGTAGTCTCGACATCAGACGCCTCTACTAAAGCGCATCAGCTCCCACCTTCTTTCATAGCTTCGGTCTTCCTCAGTTACAGCGTGCACCGGGTCATGCGGGCAATGTCCTTGATCTCTGGGCAATACAGCACTGGGGGAAAGAAGCAGGGTTAGTTAGTGGCGGATGCAACTTGACCCCAGCGTTCCTCCAAAGGCACTCCCTGGCATCCTCCGGGGGCCGCCCCTCACCGTTGCTAGGCAGCGGACGCCGCCAGCGCCGCGCGGGCAGCAGCACCCGGTTCCAGAGCCGCCGGAGGGCGCGCCACCCCGAGCTTCTAGGCCCCGCCTCCTCCTCGCACTCGCCTCCTCCGTCGGCGTCGCCGCTTTCCGTGGCCGGGCTCCCGGTCTCTCCTCGTTCGCGGTCCGCTTGGGCTTTTTCTTCCAGTCGCGACCACACGGCTGCGTCCAGAGCGACCTCCGCGACGCCGCCGCGAGGAAGAGGGGTCGGCGCGCGGCAGAAGGGGCACGTGACGACGCGGCGCAGGCGCACCACGCGCGCCGCCGCCCCGCTGCCCTCCCCGCGCGCGGCCAGCTGGCTCAGGCAGGCGGTGCAGAGCGTGTGGCCGCAGCGGGCGCGCGCCGTGCCGGGCAGGCGGCGGGGCGCGCGGCCCCCGAGGTTGAAGGGTCGGTAGCAGATGTTGCAGTCCAGCTCGCCGCTCTCCGGAAGAGAAGGCACCCTCACCAAGAGTTGCATCGTGGACCCGAGCTCTTCGCTAACTCTGTGGACAGAACGGGCCGACCCTCTTACGGCCCGGATCGAATCCTGGGGCCGGCGCCGCGGACTCTTTCTCCTTTTAATAGTGAGGCCCGGCCCTCGAGGCGTCACGCGGCTGTGGGGCGCCTCCCCGCGGCGGCACGCGTGGGGGTGGAGGAGGCGGGAGACCGGAATGCTGGAGGTGGCGGAGCTGGGGAGGCGACCGGCCAGTCCCCGTGTTGCCAGGTGCACTTTATCATCCATTGTCCCTTCCACGAACTGTGTCTCTCCCAGCACTCATAAATGATGCTATGTGCGGATCCCCAGGTCCGCGATACTCTAGGCTCATTTGTCAGTTGCTCACTTTTTTTTTTGCACCAGGAATGGAACGCGGGACATCACACTTGCCAGGGAGGAGCTGTGCGGTTGAGTTATATTCCCGGCCTGCTCACAATCTTTCACAACCCCACGCAGAGTTTGTGGTTAGTTATACTGCCCCTTCTGCCTGACCTTTAACTGGCTCTTAGATGTTTGGATGCTGCCAGGCTGTAACTCTGCCTTCAATCACCGTATTATATGTGAACAACACCCACACACACGCGGTGTTCTTGTAAAACAAGATCCCCAGATTTATTTCCAAGGTGTGCAACTCCAGCTGACACCTCTGCCTTGACTTCAGGACAGTGGCCACTAAGAATGCTGGGAATCTTTTTCTTCCGGAGTATCTGGACACCTACACAATATGACAGCTCCAGCAAAGCAGCCCAACATGATGTCTGACTCAAGGGTCTGACCTCCCCACAGGTAAACAGGACATGGTACTCACAACCCACATTCTCTCAAGATGTGACAGGCACACCCAGCTGCCTTCTGACCCGGCTCTGTGGACCTGCAGTCCAAGTTCTGTTGTAGAGCCTGGAGTACAAGTCATAACCTCTATTAGCAGTTGTGAGATTATGAGCAAATTAATTTTTCTGGGCCTTGATTTCTTCATCTACAAAGTGGACAATAACAGGAATGAAAGAGCCTATGTATGAAAAAAAAAAGCCTATGTATGTAAGGTGCTTAAAATAAATACTTGGTACACAGTAAATAGCAGATAAGTATTAGCTATTATCATCCCGGATTTCCAGCCTGTATTACATTCTTCGCCTTAACTTCTCACGTTAACTTCTCAGTACACGATATTTTCAACACCCATCTTATTTACTGGCTTATCCCAGGTCATGTAAAGCAGGCTTTGCTTTTTTAAACTAAATTGTTAAAATTTAAAGGATAATTTTTTGTGAGGGGGTATACTATTAATTTTAAGGAAACCTTTCAGAACTCTGTTTTGTCTTCATGACCACTTGGAGGAAGCTATACCAATGAAGCTGTTGTAATTCAAAATTTGGGAACATCCTACTGGAAAAGTATGGGTCACATTTTTAACGGTTTCCAAGAGGTGATAAAAGTCAATTTACTTTTTATTTTTATTTCTGGCACTGGGGATCGAACTTATGATCTTGTGCTTACCAAGCAAGCACTTGAACCGCTAAGCTAAATTTTTTTTGAGACAGTGTGTCTAATTATGTAGTTCAGATTGGCTTTGACTGCCTGGGTAACCTCTTGAACTTGCAGTGATCCTCCTGCCTCAGCCTCCTACTCCTGGGATTTCGGGTATGCCCCACCATGCCTGGCTAAACTAATACTGTAAGGTAGATTGTATTACTGTATATAAATGGAGACCACTCTAAGCTTCAAATTTGTATGTCCTGTCGCCTGCCCTATAGCTTATTTATGTTCTGGATTGCAAACTCTTCAACTCCCTCCCGTACTGGGAGCAGGCTTCCTACCTCTTTCTTTGCTCAGCTCCAGAAACCTAGTTGTTATCCTTGACAACTCCCTTGCTCTCATCTTCCTTTATCAACCAGTCACCAAGCCTTGGGCATTTCCTTTCTTAAATATCGCTCACCCACCCACGTATTTGCATTTGCTGCTCACCACCTTAGTCTAAGTTACATCATCCCTTGCAGGCATTCTGGCTTTCAGGCCAAACCTCAAACCCCAAATTCCTCTTTAAAGTCTATTAATGTGGTGATAGCTGAATGGACCCCAATTCTTTGTAATGTTGCTTTTCCCGTTAAGAATTGTGTCTCTTTTTTCTTTTTTTGTCTTTTTCCTTTTTATCGGTACCGGGGATCGAACTCACGACTGCCTGCTTGCAAGGCAGGTGCTTATGCCGCTGAGCTAAACCTCCAGCCCCAAGAATTGTGTCTCTTTTCCTGTCTCTTTGTCTGGGCTGACTGTAATTAGCCTTGACCAACGGGAATGTGCCATAAATCTGGTCCTTCAGCTTCGACTCTGACGCCTTGAAATGCTGCCCTGAAGCCACCATCGAAGTAGGGTTACACCACTGGGGATGAGACCACACAGAGAACAGAGGTTCCCCAGCAGCAGCCAGAGCTAACTGTCAGGCACACTGGTGAGGCTCTGGGTGTCCCTGTTCAGCCAGCCTGCAAGCTGAATGCAGCTGTGTGAATGAGGTGAAAACAGCAACCGATCCACACAAGCATGGAAAAAATTGTTTAAAAGCTGCTCGACTTTACTAGGTTTTGATGTGATTAGTTGTGCGTTCATAGATAACTGACAGAGGCTCTCCTGCTGTCCTTTGGATAAACATAATATCCTAAAATTTGTATGCTAGAGGCTGCTCTGTATGTTCTGACTCAGGTATGCCTCACATTCTGTTTCCTCCTTAGACGCTCTGGAGACCTTCACTTTATGGTTTGGATCTTAAATGTTCCCCAAAGCTTATGTGTTGAAAGCCTGGTCCCCAGCGGATGGCACCATCTAGACAAGGTGGAAACTTCAGGAGGTAGGAACTAGTGGAGGATGTTAGGTCACTGGGCGTTTACCCATGAAAGGGGTATCGGGACGCTGTCTTGTCCCTTTTCCAACCTTGGCTGCTGTGAAGTGAGTGGTTCCTTCCACCATGCAGTGCTGCCTCAGGGCAGGCCCAGAAGCAACGGGGCCAAGTAACTGTGGATTCAGACCTCGGTCCATGAGCCAAAATAAACCGTTCCTCCCTTTAAATTGCTTATCCCAGGTATTTCGTCCAAGTGCCAGCTCACGCAGCTTCCTTTCTGTCACAAGGCCTTCCTTCCTCTGTGCTGTTCCCCCTCTTGCTTTCTCATCGATTAACATCTACTCATCTTTCTGTCTCATTGTGTCAAAAACTCACTGCAGACACTAACACCAAGTACTTTGCTCTGGACATCAGACAACTGGAGTTTATGTTTGACTGGTGGTCGTTTGATTGTCTCTCCCGTTAGTAAACTGCACAAAGATTCTGAGGCTGGTTTTGTTCACTGCTGGCTCACTGTTCCATATCATAAGATTCAATAAACAAATATTTGACAAATTCATGAATGAGATGAATGAGAAATCTGGTAAATGCATATATTATACAAAGTGGGAAGGGTTTGCTTGAAAGGGGCTTCCAGACTACTTTGAAGGCATCTTAAGAGATTTTAAAATGTTAAACAATAGGGGAGGAAACATTGTAAGCAGTGCACAACCCTCCAAGAGGACATTTAAACAGGATTTTTTTTTTTTTTTTTTTTTGTCTTTTTGAAACGGTTTTGCAATGCAGTTCACGCTGACCATGAACTCACTTGGTAGCCCAGGCTGGTCCCCCTGCCTCAGCCTCCAGAGTGCTGGGATTACAGGCATTCACCACCACAGCCAGCCCAGGAGGATAATATTTTACGTTTGTTTCAGAAGAACTAGTCATAGTTTAGTCATACATTTTACTTGTTTGTTTCCTCCAGCCTTCCAAAATGAGTGGGAGATGATTGGGTAGATGTAAGTATTCATTAGTTTATCCTGGTGATTGCTCATCCAGTAAATGGCATGCTGCTCGGTTTTCTCTTTGGAAATTAGTTTTACTCTGTGCTCCAACTGGCAGGATTGAGGCAGGATGAGGGGAAACAGAAGGGAGATGGAAAATTGTCTTTAAGGAAGACAGAGCTTATCCTCCTCTGCCTTGTAAACTTTGAAGGTCACAACTTTGCATTCACCCCAGAAAACCAGAGTCTTCTGGAGAAAAAAATAGGGGCAGTATCTGGCATCCCAATTTGGTTTTTGCTTTTCTGTGACCTGATCTTTTACTGGTTTTCCTTTTAAAATTATAACTCCTTTTTCTCTCACTCTGTAGCTCCTCCACCAGAGACAGGCCTGCATTTTCTCTCTGTTCACCAAATTGGACATCTTCTACCTCAGAACAACCTCTCCTGCCCATGAGAAAACTATTCAGACAGTTGCTTGGAATACACGTATCGGGCTAGAGGAAAAGAAGTACAAAACAAGGAGGAAGTATGGCTGATAATACCTTTAAAAACAAAAGAGCAATAGCATCAGACAGCTGCGACTTCCATGAATTAAGCAGCAAAACTAGGAAGCTGGATCACTAGGTTCTACAGAAGTTGGGTACCCAGTCCTGCGGGTGCCTTGGTCCTTAAGAACAGTGACCAAGTGCCCTACTCCTGAGTCACTGAGGTGGACGGAGAGAAAAACTAGCTCAGAGAGTTTTCTAATGCCCGGGAGCAAGACGACCAATATGTGAGGCAGAGACCTTCATCTTGTAGTCCTCTACTATTTCATACACCATGAGGATCAAGCTGAGACTTTATTTACAGTTCCCTGGGAAATCTTACAGTAAGAGAGGAGCCATCGTTATTGCTTTAAGGTCATTGACAGATGAAGACTGCGGTCCTCCACTGCCAGGTAGGAAGTCCAGCCCAAGGCTCAGAAGTCTGTCCTCAGAACCTGGTTGGTCAGCCCTGTGTGTATGCTGGTAACCAAAGGTGGTCACTGATTTCTGCAGAGTACCACCCAACTCTGCTCTTTGTTCTAAGGCTACCCTGGCCACTTTTGCCAGCCTATGCTATACATTTCCCTCTGCGGAGGTCAGTGGTATGCCACAGTATTCCCCACCCTTACCCAGTCTGCAAAAACAAGATCTTAGTTCTAGGTTTAAGTCCTCGTCTACATCCAGGTTAGGACGCAAGGATCTGGTTTTCCCAAAAATTATCATTTACTTCTTGCCAGGACCAGCCTGGCTTCTTTTGTATCCAATAATATAAAGACCCATTTCCTGTGTCCCAAATGACATTACAACTCACTTATTAGGTTCTTTTCCCCTGACAGTTCAAGGGCCATTTTTGAGGTACTTTGCATGTTTCTTATGGTGTATGTGTCGGGATTTTTCTGGGCCTCGGCAATAGGGAGAAGAGAGCAAGGAGCGAGACCAACAGGCAGAGAGGGGACGACCCATAGCTCATGCCCAGGGTTAGCAAGAAGTCCTACACGGACGCAGTAGAGAGCGAGTGGACTACTTTCTCCCTTAAGCTCCACTGCGGAAGGATATGGCTTTGTTCATGCGCAGCGCTACTCGAAGCCGGGACTCGTTAGTGGGCGGGGCCACCCGGGCTCTGGCCACTGCGTAGAAGGATCCGGGATGGGGTTTGCTGACCAGTGCAGCGACCTGCGTTGGGTGTTTGCGCCCCTTGAGGGACTATTTCTTGAGATGCGATTTGTTGCCCAGAAGTCCGTCTATCTCCATCACCGTTTGCGGCGTCAGCTGGCTCAATACCTGGAGGAGGGGAGGTGGTGGACAGGGCAGGTCCTACCGGGTCGCTGAGAAAGGCTTGGAGTTACAGGGCTGCGGGGAAGCACCATAGTTGCGGGTGGAAGGAAAGAGTCACAGCTGTACTCCCTGGCCTTAAGCACTGAGGTCTTTCACAGGTGAGGCTTGTGTAGTGGCTGACCTCAGGGCCATCCTGCGTTGGACAGCATAGCATTTACTCCTGGAGAAGGGGGCATAGATGGTTCTGTCTCTGAGTCCCTGGCTTACCTGTAGGGCACCCAGGTGTTCCATCAGTTGTTCTGCACTTGACACTCCCAGCAAGACGGAACTGACACCCTCACTGCGAAGACACCAGGCTGGAACCAGAAGAGGACAGAAAGGAAGGCGGGGGTGGGTAAAACAACTCATGGGGAGCAGTGAGCACAGGGACCTCAGAAAGATCTCTGAGGAACAGGGTTCTCTCTAGGGACGGTCTTGGATAGGTTTGGGAAGTCTCAGGGGCAGCAGGGCCTTTGAAATGTCCAGGACTAGAAGTGTCTCACCAATAGCAAGCTGGGCTACAGTACAGCCTAGCTGATGGGCGATGGGGAGAAGGTCCATGGCTCTGGCTTGTTGCTTCTTGCCATCCTCACTCTGCACTTTATCCTTGAGCCACTGGTTGCCCTGGATGCCAGGGAGAATCAGCAAAGACCCAGCTTCACCACCACACACCACAGTTCATATAGCCTGGCCCTGCCATCTGACCCCCACCTCTCACCTTGATGGCAGCCTTGCAGGTATCTGGGACTCGGCCCTCATACTTGCTGGTAATGAGTCCACAGGCCAGAGGAGACCAAGTGACTGAGCCAACTCCTAAAAGAAAAAGAAGGAGGTATGGGAAAGGGACCTAGGCCATGGAGGAGATGAGGGGATAAGGCAGGGATGAGGGGCTGCATACCAATCTTGTGGTAGAGTTCGGGCAGCTGCATCTCCACCTTCTCCCTCTGAAACAGGTGGTGCTCTGCTTGTTCACACACAGGAGGAATAAGATTGAACTGTCTGGCCACGGAGTAGGCCTCCTGGGTTGGGGGAGGGAGGAGACTAGACTTAGAGCACTCCTTGCATTTTCTTTGTTGCTCCCTCCCCCAGTATGGTGGCCACATAAAAAGCGGGCACCAGTTGTGGAATGGAGAAGTGGGGTCACATACTCACCATGATTTCTGCAGCCCCCCACCGGGATGTCCCCCAGTATAGGGCCAGGCCCTGATTGATGACATAAGTCATGGCTCGCACAATCTCTAGGCACACAGGAGAAGGAGAGTCTCACTGTCAGACCGTGACATTTAAGACTCCAGATCTGCATACCTTTGCCCACCCTGCCAAGACCCTGGGTGTCTTCATGCAGCAGAAAGGTTTGGGTCTGTTCTTTGCCTGTCTGCCTACGTCCTGGGGTCTGAGCCTCTGCGATGGCGCATAGGAGGTCTTGGGGTGCAGCTGGCTTCCTGCTGAGGGGTGAGGAAATGCCCCGTTTTGAAGGGCTGTCAGATTTGGGGGAGTGATTTACCCTCCATAGGACTGTTCGGATCTGAGCAATTGGCAAAGACTATGTCCACGTATCCCAGCTGGAGGCGGTCCAAGGATCCTCGCAAGCCTGGCAGTGGGAGTAGGAAGAGGAAGGTGAGAACTTCAATTTCAGTTTACTAAAAATTCAAACTTTACTCCCTTGGCACGGCCACCTAAATTCCCAACTTCAGAGCTTCAGAAAACATTCCCAACTCCCTGGGCTTCCGTGACTACCCCACTCAGGTGTCGAGCCCCCAAGTCTCACCTTCAATGATATGTTTGCGACTTAAACCTCGCTCAGTTTCTGCCCTGTAGGAAAAAAAAAACCACATTGTCGAAAATGAGATGTGAGGGATAGGGAAGCAAGGCTGGCCTGGAGCCACGAGGAGCTGAGATGCCAAGGGTCCTCACGGGCAAGATCTGGGCTCTACTACAACCCCGGTGTACTTTCACAGTTGGGTGATTGATTGTACTGGGGATTGAGCCCAGCTAGGGCCTTTGTACTGAGCTACAATCCTTTTTATTTTTTATTTCGACACAATCTCACTGAATTTCCCAGGCTGGGCTCAGCTTTTGATCCTCCCAACTCAGCCTCCCAGAGTGCAGAGTGTTCCAGGTATGTATCATCCCATCTTGCTCACACACATTTTTGTGGGTGAAAAAAATCTCAGCTTTAATGGTGCAGTCACTTACTGTCCTCCCCAAAAAATCTTGGTGGTGATAACATAGCTTGATCTCCTGGAAAAAGAAATGGGAGAACCAGCAACAGCAGGAATTGTGGGTGATTTTCTCTCCAACACACCCCCAAAAGTCTCACCTCCAACCTTTGCGCTTGAGGATGTTGCCTAGGGTCCTTTCAGCCCTGGAAAAAAGATATGCAAAGGCACTGACCCCTCCAAGGTGGACTGGTTCTTTCTCTTCCTCTTCACCTTTTACTCTCTTATAAAATAGAGCTAAACCCAGGAGCCCAACTGTGTCCTCAGCTCTATCCTGGACTAAATAAGAGGGGTTCCTGGAGCCAGAGTGTAGTCATATAATAACACTCACTCTTATTTATTTTTTTAGTACTGGGGGTTGAACCCAGGGCCTTCACACTGAGCTCCATCCCCAGCCCTCTCTTATTTTTAATTTTGAGACAGGCTTTCATTAAGTTGCTCAGGCTGGAGTCAAACTTTTGATCCTCTTGTCTCAGCCTCCCGGAGTTCTGGAATTACAGGCATGTACCACCACTCCCGGCTCCATTTGTTCATTCATCCAACAAATATCTGCTATGGAACTGTGAACCAAGTCCTGTTGTGGGTACTAACAGGACAGATTAGGATGGCCAGAGACGGACAGACTAGTGAAGACTGGAAGACGCTGCTTTGTCTGGTTTCAGCTATCTGAGTTGCCCTCCCCGTTCTCTGAGCTTCAACAAAATCCCACCCATTATCCATCCTAAACTCAGCTTGTGTTCTACCTCATCCATAAAATGTTCTCTGATCGCTGCACTTACTCATAAAATTGGTTCCTCAATTCTTGAGTATCCTATTTGTCATTATGAGCTAACTTGTGACAAGTCTTAAATTGTTATGAAAAGGGGCTGGGGATTTAGTCCAGGGGCATAAGTGCCTGCCTGGCAAGTGCAAGGTCGTGAGTTCAATCCCCGGTACCATAAACCAAATAAATAGTTATGAAGGACTATACTGAAATGTTTTCTGTTGTTTAAATGTGTATACCTCCTCTATCTTTTTTGTTTAACAACTTAAAAAGTGTACACTCCCCCAACACTCACACAGGAGATTGAATCTGGCTTTGTATGTACTAGGATGAGGGATTGAGTTATATCCTCAGCTTTTTATTTTATTTTATGACCGGGTCTCCCTAAATTGTCCAAGTTGGCCTTGAACTTGAAGTCCTCTTGCTGAGCCTGCCACATAGCTGGGACTGCAGGCACGTGCCATTGCACCTGGGCAGAATGCACTTTTCGAGAGCATGTTGATTTCATACTGTAAGGAGTGTCAGAGGTACTTGGGAAAAAGCAAGACAGGTTCCATGAAAGGAAAGGTCCTGAATCGAGCAGCAAATACAGGTATATAACTTGGTACAGAATGTGTGTCAGAAGGCAGTATAAAGTGCTGTGGAAGTTTATGGGGCATGGTGACTAATTTTGGAAGTTGGGCAAAGGCTTCTTGGAGGAGCTGATATGGGGGCCAAGTCCTGAGATGAACGGAAGAGTTTTCCAGATGGAGAAGAGGTGGGGTCGGTCAGCCCAGGCTGTGGCTTCTCGTGGTAGGAAGTCATAGGTATGTGGTATGGAATGGTTATGTTTGAAAGTACAGTTCTGCAATCCCCAAAAAACTGTACATAACCGATGTCCAGGTTATATTTTTGGTCTTACTTAGTGTGACTATATAGTGTGTCTGTTGACCCCTAAACCAGAGACGAACTATGTTGACACTACAACTCCCCATAAACACGCAAGTGTTCCCTGAATTCCCAGGATTCTTCAGAGAGAAAGAAGAACCCTTGATGTGCACTCAGCCCTCCAAACGTGACAGCGCCTTCGCTCCAGTCCTTACTTTCCTGCTGCATACACTTCGGCGGTGTCAAACAGGTTTACACCATGCTCATAGGCTACTGTCAGCACATCCTCTGCTGTCTGCGGAGGGGAGAGAAAAAGTTGACGTCACCCACTTCCCTCAGGTCCTTCCCGGGATGCACTCTACCCCATGTGATTTCTGTACTTTCCCCCCTTTCCTCTATCCTCCAGCTTTAGCATTTTCGTTTCCCATGCTTGTTGTGCCCACCCCTTTTCAGGTCCGTTTTTCACCTTTCTGCCTCCCTCCCCACCCCGCTCCCCACCCTACTTCTAGAACCCATCACTTATACCTCGTCTGAGATCTGAGAACCGAATGTGACCCAGGTACCTGTAAGGGAAAAGCCAGCTACATGAGAACTGTGGGAGGCAGGCTGCGAAGAATCCCCTCTTCCCTTAATTCCTAGTCTGACTCACCCAAGCCAAGACAGGACACCCGAAGACCAGACTTTCCTAGGTTCCTGCAAAATAGAGAAACAGCAGGAAAGGTTGGACCCTCCATTAGGGACCTAAGGGTATAGGTCTCCACCCCCATTCTGTCCAGATGGAGAAGTCCCCAGGGTCTCAGTCCAAAGCAACTAGGCTTATGTTGGAACTTAGGACGCTGTGAAACCAAACAACCAGCCTGCCTCCCTGCTAAGCAATAGTGAACCTACTGATGCTCGGCCTAGAGTCAAACATCCCACTTCCCTTGCCCCCCTTCTCCCGTGTGTCCCCGCACCCCCACCCTTAGCAAATGGGAACCAGAAATCTGAGCGTCTCCTGGGAGGCTGACCATAGCAAATAAGGGGGGTTTCCTTCTACCATCTCTGAAGGCAAATACTTTTATTACTGTTTTGCTTTATTCTGATTAATGGTACTGCTCTATTCAATATTGTGTTGATAAGTTCTATAATGTTCTGTATTTCATCTCATTTTGATATACGTGATTGAAAGAACAACTATCATAAAGATAATGAAATATACTGTGGTACCTATTACTGTTATCCAGATAACCTGCTGTGAAGTTCTGTACCAATTTCACTGTATGATCTTAGTTGGCTTTATTCTGTCTTGTTCTGTTGTATTTTACCACTTTCAAAATAAAATTAAAAAATTAAAAAAAAAAAAGGCAACTAGGCTTAGGTGGCCTACAGCACTGTGTCTGTGGAGCCTCTGTCCAGTGCCTCTCCTTTCCTATCACACTGAAGATGTGCTGCCTGGTTTGTCTTTCTTCTGACTGAGGTCTTGTCTGTGCTTGAATCCTCTCTGGGTTATACGGAGTAAGGAGCTTTCAGGAGTGTGGCTGGCTGTGATGAGTTTGTGAGAACAGATCGTCAATCAGAATGTCACACTAAAGCGTGCCACCAGAGTGGAAAAGTAAATCACTCAAGACATGCCAGGTAAAGAGCTTGAGGGAAGTGCGACAGGAAAGTCTTGCCCTCTCCACTCTCTCCTGTTGGCTTCTGAAGACTCTCTGAATAAGGGAGTCCTCTCCTCCTCCCCGGCTCCCCCACCCCAGTAGCCACCTCAGTTTCCTAATCAGGGCTGCCACATGGAGGGGATCAGATTCTTTAGGTGACAAAGCCAGGTCAGATCAGTAACCCTGGCTTACTTCCAGGCTAGAGCCTCTCCTTGTCCCTTGACTAAGTGTTCCGAGAGCCCCTGGCCCACAGTTCTCTGAGATAAAAACAAGTTTCCATCCATCCCCCCCTTACCCAGCCCCTGTCCCTCTGGCATGGGGATGAAAGATAGGTTCCATCCTTCCCACAGCCCCTCATCCCTCTTCTCCCTGCTCCCTTCCAGGGAGACTGGGAGCTCAGGTCAGGTAGGGGCAGTATCTGGGTCAGGTGCCCTTGCAGGCAGGAGCCAGAAGCCGTTTGCCTTCTCGGCCCAGGACGCTGACCCAAGGACACTCCATTGGGCTGCAGACTGGAATTTTCGTGCCTCCTTGGAGTTCTTAGCAATGAGGGGGAAGCTCGGAGGCATCCTCTGGGTCTGATAGGACTTGCAACCTTGGTAAATTTGAGCCCCTCATAGTCAGGGGTACCAACAAGACCAAGGGAGGGACTAAGTTGGGAAGTACCAGTGATGCCAAGAGCTGGAGCGAGCGGGGACCTTTTTTAGCAAAGTTTGAAGGGGGCTTAGCGGCATCTGGGAAGCCTCAGGGGTCCCAAAAGAGGAGTGGACGCACGGGCTGCCCAGCCACCCCATACCTGTATTTCATGCCAGTGCCTCGGCCTGTGCTTTCTCGGAGGGCCCCAGCAGGCGCCGGGGGTCGGGGGACCAGCGCGGCTCGGGACTTGGGGCCCGACCCTCCACCCCCCGGAGGGTTCCCGAGCCCCACACCGGCTGGCCCGCTATTACCGCCCCCAGGGCCGGGCCGGGGTCCGCACAGACGGTCCTCACTGCTCCGGCTGCGAAGGTTCTGCTCGGTACACGCGATAGACACCTGCATGCCAGCTGGCCAGGGCGAGAGAGGGGGTTCCGAGGGGGCGGGGAAGCCCGAGGTAGACGCCCCAGTGATGGCGGGGCGCCCTGGGAAAGCGGGGAGGCTGAGGAGGCTGCTGCGGAAGCTGCCAGACAGGCTCGGCCCGCGGGGGCGCGCTGCGGGAGGTCGCGGGCTTTGCAGCTGCGAGGGAGCAGTACGGGGTGGAGGGGGGCAGGGGCAGAGATGTTCAGATACTGGGGGCTCTGGTGCAAGGGACGGGAGGGGAGATGGGTGAAGGTAAAGGTTGAGGGCGGTCGTCAGAGGGAAGGGACCCAGGGAGGACAGGTTGATGGGAGAGGGATGCCACTTCAGCCGAACCGCAGTGGGACTCGCTGGGCTCCCAGCAAAATCGGCAGCGGGCCCAGCTCATCAACATGTAGGCACCGCCCCTTCATTTACATAGAACAGACCGCCTTCCTGCCAAACCTACAGCTCATCTGCATAAGCCACGCCTTCCAATGCTCCCAGGCAGCTGGTGTACTGCGTTGGCTCAGAAGAGGGAGGTCTGATCCCTGAGCACGTTTCTCACATCCTGCGTATTTGAGGTGTGTCAGCCTTACTCCTGTCCAATGGCTTTTAGTCCGGAGGGATTTTATCCCCTAGGAAACATGTGACAACATTTGGAGACATTTTGATTATCACAACCGTGTGGGGGGGCGTGAGGAGGGATGTACTACACCTACCAAGTGACAGCAAGAGTCTCTGGTAACATTCCACAAAACACAATGAAGAATTAATTACCCAGCTCAAAATGTCAACAGTGCAGCTCCTGAGAAACCCAATGGCAAAACCGTTTTTCAGACTTTGAAGGGATGTGGCCAGCCTTATGCAGGGAAGAACCCAGAGGGCCCACTCAAACTGACACACTCCGGCTACAGAGAACAACAAAAAGTTTATTCTGTATTCTGTGTTGCTTGAAATGTCAACTGGGGAATAAAACTAGGGAGCAGGACTGGTTTGGGAATCTAGGAACTTTTGGGGGTGGGGTGGAGGAGGAGGTTTTGGGCTGCTGCCCTGGGAGAGGGTTTGGTAGAGGGGTTTATAGTATCTTCAGAGGCTGCAGGTTAGGGAGGGCTCCAGGCAGTCACAAATTCTTTTCTGATGGATGAGGTAGTATACTTCAGCCAGCTCGGGCGGAGAAGAAGGACAGAGAGCGAACATAGGAGTCTAGCCGGGAGCGGAAGAGCTCACTTTGTACAGTTTGGCCCAGAGGGCACAGGGGATTCTTCACCACCAGTTCCACGTACAGCTGTGGGAAGGAGGAGGGTAAAGCTGGGGTATAGCTCCCAGCACAGGACCTGCCTGGCAAGCACAAGATCCTGAGTTCAATTTCCCATACCAAAACAAAACAGAAGAATCCCGGGCATTGCACACTTTCTCATTTTCTTAGTTTGACCTCAGAACTGTAGTATGAGTACATAAGGAACCAGGGCTGGGAGACAAGCCTACCCTTACAAGAAACTTGTGATAAAGAGTTTTTAAGAACTTAGAGACTCCCACAAACAACCTGAGTTCATTAGTGAGATAATACAGTAGAATTAGGGGAGAAAATCTGAGGATCTGAGGGACTCTTTAGGCTCTGAATGTGGGTAAAAGGCTGTGTGGGAGGCGCCCCTTGGGCTGACACTAACCGCACTGTAGATGTGGTGCAGCACATCTCGGATAGGTCCCACGCCCAAGTCAGTGTTCATGACAACCTTGATCCCAGTGGGTGTCTCATAGTAATGGAGTTTGTAACGGCTAGTTTGGAAGGACAGGAACCCATCCTTCCTGCAGAGATATTAAAGATGGGTGTTAAAGATGACAGTGGAATCTCTCCCGAAGAAGAAATATTTCTGATCCCCTCAAGGTTAATCTCCTTTTCATCTAAACACACAGTTTGTAGGTGCCTGGTGGACTAAAGATTCCCCACCCCCTTAAGAAAGGGTTTTGCTATGCGGCAAGGCTGGCTGAACTCCTGTTTCAGTGCTGGGACTAAAGGAATGTGATACTATGCCCGGCTAAGAAACACCCTATCTTTATTCCTTAATGTAGCCCAGGCCCTCAACCTCTTCACTTTCAGACTTCCTACTGCTACTCCTTGAAGCTTCGGTGCTTTCACTCTAACCTGACCCTCCCCTCCCCTTTCAGGGGGCCAATGTCCCTTCACTCCAGAAAGGACCCCTCCTAAATTCCCAAAGCTAGCCCTCCTCTCAACATCTCCTCTGATGTGACTGGCGTACATGTCTAGCGGGGACATCTTGCTGACAAAGGAGCGGATAGAGAAGAGCATCCCATACATCAGCTTGAACTCCTGGAAGGAGAGGGACAGAGTTAGGTTTCGGTTGTTGAAGGAGATACGGTTGGGAGTAGGAACAATTTGAGATTTAGAGACGGGAGGCGGGGTATAAAGTGTTTTTGGAGATGCGAGGTCACCCGAGTTGCACTGGAGCCCGCTTGTCACCTCCTCCTTGGGGATCCCTGCTTGCTTCTTGCGATGCCACTCGCTGTAGTGCAGACACACTCCATTCCGGTCAAATAGGTACAGGTTGTGGACAGTCATCTGCAGGACAGAGAGTGCAACCCTCGCTCCAGGACCACCCCCAACTCCGTAGGCTCGGGTTCTAGGCCCCAGATCCCTCTAACTAGGTAGGAACCCCAGCCCAGACTCACCGGAATTACTCCAAGCGCTGGAGACGAGCTACTTCCGGTTTCCGAGGCGTCCCGCCCCGCTGAGTCTTCAAATTGCAACCGCGGGGCAGTAACACCACCCTATCGTCAGACCCCGCCTCTCACCCTCAACCAATCAGAGGCTGCCGGGGCCGCGCACGCGCACTCAGGCTCCTCCTAATCCCCCGAAGCGGCGTGAGCTGCTGCTGGAGCTTGGTCTCGCGGGCGGGTGACGTCATCCATGCCGGAGGGGCGGGGTGGTGCGCTGTGGCAGGAGGCTACCAACGGTTTTCAGAGTAGAGCGCTGCGTGAGGACGGGGTGTCTTTGTCTTTCCTGACTTGAGCTCAGGGGAGGGGTGCAGTTCTCTCCAGCTTGGTAAATTCGGGAGTGAGGATTGGAGGTGCGGGGAGCAGTCAGAACAGGGTGGTCGCGGGAGAGATCTCAGGCTGGGCTTGAGAGCGTCGTCCTTAGTGGGGGACGTCTGAGGGTTCAGAAGATTTTTTCTGAGAGTTAGGCGCGATTTTCAGGATCTCTGCAATGGCTTTCTTGCCAAGAGGGCTTGGAGGGAGTATGCAAGAAGTCTGACCCGAGGAAGCCAGGAGGGTAGGTTGAGGCGTGAGGTCCTGCTTGTCTCGGCAGTGGAACCAGTGGAGAGACGGACACTGGGGTCCGTTTTCAGTATGCACGTTCTGGGCATGGGAACTAAAGAGCTCAGTTGGCCCGGGAAAGCCAGTGCCAAAGCTGACCTGCACCTTCCAGCACTCTAATTACGTGGGAGAACTGCACTCCTGTTGCCCCCCAAGTAGGTCTTTGTTCTGAGCCCTCTGTATGCATCCTCTTCCACCGGTCCCAGGAGCTGGGAAAAGGATCACCTTTGCTCTTCCCATGGCCTCTGGAACCAGGAGAAACCTTTCCTTTAACCAAAGAGCCTTGATACCTTTATTCTCCAAGGATCCACCAAGGAGCGTCCCCTCTTCTCCCATATCTTCTTTCTCTGTGACCTTTACCCCTGGACTCTCCTAAAGTTGAACCAGGAGTTCCCAGCGTTCTCCAGTTGACTTCTCCCTCTACTCATGGCCACATCAACTACCAGCCCTAGTTCACCTCTGCAGGCAGAGGATCTCCTGAGTGAGACGTCAGAACCCCCTGGACTGAACCAGGTGTCCTCTGAGGTCACTTCTCAGCTCTACACTTCCTTGCACCTCAGCCGCCAGGCAGAGGCCACTGCACGGGCTCAGTTGTATTTGGGCTCCACCTCCCCACCTCCGCACGAGGCCTTAGACGGCCTGGCCCAAGAGCTGAGTCGCAGCTTGTCAGTCGGATTGGAGAACAACTTGAAGAAAAAAGGGAGGGAGGTAGGTATGTGTGAGGGACCTCTAGGATGCTAAACATGAGTCTTGGGGTTGCACGTTAGCATTAGTGGGGTTTGAATGATCGCTTGTCATATTTAAATGTCTTTTTGACTATGTAGTAAAACATTGCTGAGAACACATCCTTGTGAAGGAGAGAATCATCTGGAACACTAATTTGGAGCATTGTGAGACTTCGGTTTTTTTTTTTTTGCTCCGAGACAGCTATGCTTTAGGATATGTTGGTTTCCTGTGATTGGGATCTGGGCACTAGAAGTGGGAATAAGATTTTTTGGTTCCAAGTGGGAGGGAACAGGGGCCTTACAGATAACAAAAATACACTAACATTCTTTCCGCTCAAAAATTATGAGTATATTGTTCAAAATTTGGTGTGAAAATCAAAACATAGTTTAATCAAGCATGTTACAGAGGAAATATTTGTCTTGGATAGAAAAGGTGTCAACATCATTGCGCAGACTGGTTAAGACAGTGATGGTGAACCTTTTAAAGCTTTCATTGATACAAATAACCTGCTCAGGCACACGTGCCATAGCTTTGTCACCACTGGGTTAGGACTTCCAGAGTTTGAAATGTGACAGCCATGGCCTATGCAGCATTTAGACTGGGCATTTTCTCTTCTGTTGGCAAGAATTCCCACCACCCTTGTACCTACCCACTTTACTTACTTGCATGACTTTTCTGGCTTCTGTAGGCATTTGAGTTTCTAACTCAAGGGTAAGACATTGCTTACTGGGTCTGTTTGCCTTTTGTAGTGTTCCCTGGTGCTAGAGTTAAAATTATATGCTGGAGCTGAGGATATAGTTCAGTGGCACAGTACCTGCCTGGAAAGCACAAGGTCCTGAGTTCAATTTCCAGTACAAAACAAACACACAAACCATACTGGCAGGAGACAGACTGTAAATTATACAAGTTGCATCTGAGTTCCATGTTTGATTCCTCTGCCCCCCAGGATGGTTCTAAACATATCTTTGAGATGGAAAGTGTTCGGGGTCAACTCCAGACAATGCTGCAAACATCACGGGATGCAGCCTACCGTGAGTAAGCCCATCCCCTAGTGCTCTGAAGAAGAATCTAGATGTAAGGGGTGGAGCAAAATGAAAAGAAACAGGGAAGGAAACCTAGACCTCTGAGCCTGGTATCAGGAAAAAGAAATCCATTCTTTGGGAGCCAGGTTGGGGATCGGGAAGAGAAAGAAAAGCTGTCTCCTTTCTTCTCTGGCCAATGATCCTTGTTCCTGTCTTTACCTGACCCCAGCCTTGGGGTCTTTTGGGCTGTCTGTAGGGGACCCCCTCACTGCAGGTGCTGGCTTAGAGAAACGGGAAGAGGAGTCCTTTGACAGTGACAGCACAGCTACCTTGCTCAAGTGAGTTCTTTTTGGGCATTTTCTGGGAAATCTGAGTGTTCTAGTTCTTAGTTCCCTCTTGACTACTGTGTACCTCTTAGGGGTTTAAGAAGTTTGCCACTGGGCTCTTAGTTTTTATCGTTGCTTTCCTATCTTCTATCACCTTTATTCCGTCTAGAGCCTGCGTGGGCAGCATCTCCCTACCTCCTGGCTTTCTCTAAACCTTGGTCTTTTTTCTCCTGGAGGCGTTAACTTGTTTGCACTGAAACTGTTACTGCAAGGAGTGTGGTCTGGAGGAAGGAGCCCTGTACAGTGAATCACAGGCCTGTGTGCTGTTATGGCTTTAGCACTGTCTGGCTCTGTGACTTTGGGCACATCTCTTACCCTTCCTGCATCTCAGTTTCCTTATTTGTAAAATGTCACAGTGGAGCTAATGGATCCCCAGGGCTTTCCCACCCTAATGTTCTGTGCCTGATTTGCTCAGCACCCGGTTCCTGCAGGACTTATCTCCGTCCAGCTCAGCACAGGCTCTGGAGGAGCTGTTTCCTCGCTACACCAGCCTTCGGCCGGGCCTCCCAATTAATCCCCCGGATTTTCAGGGGCTGAGAGATGCACTGGATTCAGAGCACACCCGTCGGAAGGTGAGGTAGAAAAACTTCCTTCTAAAACCTGAAAAAATTAGAAAAAGGACTTGAGTGCTGAAAAAGACTGAGGATCACAAGCCTGGAAGCTGGGACTTTGCTCCAAGGTCTCTCCAGGGAAGCCTCTTCCCTTCCACGTAGTTACTCATAGCACTTTATGACTGCCTTCGCACAGCTTCTCACTCTTATATGTAGTGTTTGTTCTCCGGTTTAAAATCTCAACTCTCCAAAGGTCAGTGGCTTGTCCTGTCCACTGGGTCCTTATGGTCCAGAACAGTGATGGTGAACCTTTTAGAGTTTTCAATGTTACAAACAGCCTGCTGTGGTACCTGTACTATCTAGGTTCACCAGCACTGCCTAGAAATACTGTACACACAGGAACACACCGTATGCATTTGTTAAATGGACGATGAACTTTGCTGGCTTTTTCGAGGACCTTTAGCGACTGGTAATATAGTGAGCCTCAGCTTTAGTATCTGAATGGGACAGAGATGGACAAGGACATGGAAAAGTCAGAATCACTGTAGTTATTTTCGGAACCCTCTCTTCCCAGGCGTTAAACTGCTTGGGTGTGAGTGAAGGGCTTTCCTTTTATGATTATTTTATTGAATCGTTGTATTTGATGAGCTCCTTAATAGAGGAGTAAGTTCCCACACTCTGCAGTGTGAGCTGCTGCACCGCCACCAAAAGACGTAGAAGGTTTTTTCTCAGGATTCTAGGAAAGGGAAGAGTCTAGAATCTTAAGTACTTCCCAAGAAGGTAGAGAGGGCACTGGAAGTCTTAGGCCTTATATTCCCACTCAGGAATTCACGGTTCTCCCTCTCTAAACCTATTCTGTTCTTGGAGCCCACCTTCCCTGACTCCAGCCCATTGTCCACTAGAGAACCTGGAGAGTGTGGGGCTGTGATGCCAGACGAAGGATGAGAAGGACCCAAACTCCTTACCCTTCTTTCCAGCACTGTGAGCGCCACATTCAGAGCCTGCAGACCCGCGTGCTAGAGCTGCAGCAGCAGTTAGCGGTGGCTGTGGCTGCTGACCGCAAGAAAGACATCATGATCGAGCAACTGGACAAGGTGCCAGGGTAGCAAGGGTGGGGCGCCTCTCCAAGGAGGGCCTTACGGCTTGGTAAATGAGGGAAGTTAGGGTTTGTTTCTTTGTGCATGCCAAGAGCGAGGGTAGGGGTGGCTTTATTGACCGTTGGGAGAAAGTGACTGTTAACCTTGCCCCTTTGGGGAGAAAGAGGACAAAAAGTTATTTTGCAATTCTGCCTAATTTGCCTTTTTGGAGACCCTGGCCCGAGTGGTGGAGGGCTGGAATCGGCACGAGGCTGAGCGGACAGAAGTGCTTCGGGGGCTGCAGGAGGAGCGCCAGGCGGCGGAGCTCACCAGAAGCAAGCAGCAGGAAGTGGGTGCATGGGCATTAAAGCCTACATTCCAGACTTCTGGAAAGGAAGGGGCAGAAATGGCTCTCGAATTAGGGTTCCAAACAGAGTGCCCTCCGTCCACAGCAGCTGTCCTGATGACTCTTGTCCCCTGTCCCTCTCCTTGCACTATTTCGCTGTCCGGTTTAAACTGTGACTTGCCAGTTTTCCCCACACCGTACAGTTTTCTCTGTGGCCTCCAACTCACTGAGTTAACTCTCAAATTTCAACTTGACATTGTTAAAGATTTTTCAAGTAGAGGATAGAGAATTTTTCTTCATTACCTGGCCTGTGTTCTTCTCTCCCTGGAAGACAGTAACCCGCCTGGAACAAAGCCTTTCCGAAGCCATGGAGGCCCTCAGTCGGGAGCAGGAGGGCGCCAGACTGCAGCAGCGGGAAAGAGAAGCCCTGGTAGGAGGCTGGCCGGGGTCATCCCAGGGGAAGCTCTCACTCCCAGAGCAGGACGGGCGGGATGGGCGACTGGTGCACTGCGACAGTGCCACGGCTGTGTTTCTTACAGCACTCGTTCTGCTAGATATTTACCAAAAAAGGCCCTGATTCCAAGTGACTTCGGGAGACTGCAAACTATATCTTCAATAGAACATTATCACCGTCTCAGGAATTGTGTCTGTTTATGTTTTGAGACAGGGTCTTACCAGGTGTGTGGTCCAGGCTGGCCTTGAACTCATGTACTGCCAGTTGGCCTCAAACTCACAGTAATCTTTCTGCCTCAGCCTCCAAAGTGGAACTATTTTTTTTTTTTTGTCTTTTTCATTTTTATTGGTACCGGGGATTGAACTCATGACCACCTGCTTGCAAGGCAGGTGCTTATGCCGCTGAGCTAAACCTCCAGCCCTCAAAGTGGAACTGTTTTAAAATACACATTTGTGGGACACTTTCCCAGAGGACAAGTTTACTTTTTGTTTTGTTTTTTTTGCTGGGGAGAGAACCCAGGGTCTTACACATGCTGGGCAAGCACTGTCACTGAGCTATAGCCCCAGTTCTCCCAGAGATTTTGATTTAGTAGTATACAGTGGAGTTGGAAAATTCATACATTTTCAGAAATTTCCTTGGTGGTTTTATTCAGCCTGGTTGCAAACTCTGGTCTAGATTGTGGCAAAAAAGGTGTGAGATCCCTTTGAGAGATTGATGCAGGAGGATTGCAGCCTGGGCAACTTACCAACGTATTGAAAACTGTCCCCCAAGATATAAAGAGGGCTAGCGTGTTTGAAGGCCTGAGTTTGCTCTCTAGTACCATCAAAAACCAAGCAAAACAGGTAAAAGTATGGGATGAGACTCATACAGATTTCTTAGCGCTGAAGTGATCAGGTGATCACCCATCAGAGGTGATGCCCAGGTCTGGAACTTGCTGCTTACATGGCAGACCTGTGCTCTAACAGATGATGGCGAACAGTGCTGATGGCGGTTGTTGCTTGGCTTGTTTCTGACAATATGCTGGCTGTGCTAGTCTTTGTGGAGTTTTTTTTGTAATACAGGAGCTCACTATGTAGTTTAGGCTGGCTTTGAACTCATTATGTAGTCCAGGCTGGTGTCAAACTCATTGTGATCCTCCTACCTCAGCCTCCCGAGTGCTGGGATGACAGGTGTGCACCACCACATCGGCTGTGGAGTTTCTTTTGATGATGATGATGATAGCAATTGTATATTGAGTATTTATTATGTGCCAAGCATTGTACCAAATACCTCTAAGTATATGTTTTACTTTACTCCTTACAGGATAGACTCTGTTAGCTCCACTTCACAGATAAGGATATGTGCCTAAGAACACATAGTAAATAAACAATAGGCTAGCAACCAAAATTTAAACTCAAGTCCACCTAACTAGGATAGGAGTTCTTATTTATGTTATTATAATCCTTTGAGCCTGTCAAGTGTTACATTTTAAATGAGCATAGTTCTTATTGGACACATTGTGTGGGTGCAGGTTGCTTTGAGGGCCTACTAAAGATCTTGGTTTTCTTGTGGGGCTTTAGGAAGCAGAAAGGCAGGCTCTGACTCTGAGCTTGGAGGCTGAGCAGCAGCGGAACCGTGCGCTACAGGAAGAGCGAGATGAGGCTCGGGCTGTGCAGCTCAGCGAGCGTCGGAAGCTGGAAAGCCTTCAGGTTGCCCTGGAAGAAGAGCGGCAGGCCCGGGCCCAGCAGGAGCATCAGCTCAAGGAGCGCTACCAGGCGCTGCAGGAGGAGGGCCAGGCCCAGCTGGAAAGGGAGAAGGTGAAAGCAGGATTTGGAGGATGCGGGAAATGGGGAAGGATGAAGGGGATGGGATGGCAGAACGTGGGACAGGGCTGGGGAGTGGAGAGCCGGCTCTGGGAAGCAAGGCTGAGCCTGCAGCCTGCGGGAAGGAATGGGGCGTTAGATACATGGCAGGTCGGCCGGGGATTTAGCTCAGCGGCATAAGCGCCTGCCTGGCAAGCGCAAGGTCATGATGAGTTCAATCCCCGGTAGTACATGGCAGGCCAAAAAGCGGTATTAAACAGGGAGGAAGAAACGGCATAGTACACATGGGGACAGAGGGAGGGACTTGGGTTTTAGAGTTAGGGCGTGGGGAGGTGGGAATAGAAGTGGCTGGAGATAGGAGATGAGTTATGTCTCACATTTGCTTTCCCTGTCTAAGGGGAACAGCCAGAGGGAGGCCCAGGCAGCCCGGGAAGCCCAGCAGCAGCTGGCACTGGTGCAGTCCGAGGTGCGGCGGCTGGAAGAGGAGCTGGACACAGCTCGGAGAGAGAGGGATGCCCTGCAGCTGGAGATGAGCCTGGTGCAGGTCAGTTTCTTATGCTTGAGAGAAGCGCTCCTGAGGCCTTGGGAGTCCTGGTTAGTATCCCATTTCGGATATTTTGTTTTTTTTCCATCAGTGGCTTCTATGTCTTAAACTGTTGCTTCTGTTTTATACTCAGAGCCATTTCTCACTGAGTGACAGTTTCCCAGTGTTGGACTGACCTAGTGGTACTCACAGGAGTAACAGAGTTAAATCTCTTCAGGATGCTTTGTACTGTTTTAAAAGATGGCGTTACACTTACTGGGTCAACCATATGAATAGGCAAAAGCTTTTGTCAGAGGCCTGATTCCAGTCATAACACTCTGCTTTGTAATTCTCATTTGTAAATAACTTGTGTTAATCTTGCTGAGTAGGTCAGGGACTCAGGAGATGAATGATTGCTTTATTTACTCATGAGATTCTTATCACCTCTCATGGGCTGGGAGGGAATAGTACCTACAGATTGTTTGTTGGATATAATTAGACTCTTGAAGATGCTCACCATCTAGCGAATGCAGTGCACCTTAACTTCAGTCTCGTCAGACCCTTGCTGTGTAATAGCACAGGGCTGGACAGCCTTTTCTGTACAGGACCAGATAATAGGTGGTTTTGACTTTGGGAGTCATAGTCTGAGGTGCAGCCACTTCACTCATGTAAGTGAGTAGGCTATGAATAGTTCCATAGAACTATTCACAAAAGCAGGCAGTAGAGGACTGACGTGGTCTATAGTTTGCTGAAAAGGTTGGGAAGAGCTGTGTTCTAATCCATGGTGGAGGCATAACATTAAAAAAACAGCACTGACACGGGAACCAGGACTTTTAGTTACACACCTGCCTAGAATTTTGACCTTCCTGGGCCTCTGTTTTTATGTGCAAAGTGTGTTAAGGGTAGATGAGTTGTTTGTTTTCCTTGGAAACAAGGTCTCACTGTGTAGTCCTGGCTGGCCCTGAACTCACAGTGCTCCTCCTAAGTTCTGGGATCGCAGTCATGAGCCACCACACCCGGCACAAGGGTAGGTGAGTTTCTCAGAGCAAGCCAAGAAGGAGAACTGGGCCAGGTAGGAGTAAAAAAAGTAATAGACGTCAAAGATGACTCCAGGTTTCGCCCAGCGGAGGTGGGCAGGAAATGTAATAGGAAGAAAAGGTCTGAACGTCTCTTAGTCAGCTTTTTGTTGCTGTCACCAAAATATATGACATGTGCAGTTCAAAGAGGAAAAGGCTTACTTTGCCTTATGGCTGCAGAGCTCTCTGTCCGGGGCTGGCTGGCCGCAAGGCAGAAATAGCACAGTGGAAGAATGGTGGAGAGCAGCTGCTCACCTCAGGTTAGCCAGAAAGCAGAGAGCCGGAGAAGAAGGGGCCAGGGACGAGACGTGCCCTTCAGAAGCGTGCCCCCGGGGCCCCTCTTCCTCACAGCCCGGTCAGCTGTGAGCTCCTCGATGGATTCACCCACTATGTGCCCTCGCAATCCAGTCCTTGTCCAGATTGGGTCTCTCCATCCAATCAAGTTAGCAAGGTTTATTGTCACAGAGGGTCAAGGCCAGATGAGTTGAATTTTGGTGTCTTTTACCTGAAGTATGTCCAGCTAGAACTATCTATCAGGTCACGGGTGTATGGACTTTTAGAGAGTTCATTTAGAGAGTGTTAAGAAGTAAATGGTAGTGAAAGCTAACTATAAAGTAAATGATACACGTGGAATGTTAGCATGCACTAGAAAAGGATGGAACAGAGGCCGAGACTTGATACAGTGGGAGTGGGAGAGGTGTGGGGGCGGGGAGAAGTGAGTCTGTGGGAGAGGACTGACCGGGGTGCAGGTGTTGCGGTGAGACACATTAGACAAAGACAGACATAATCGCGGTTGGGCTTAGAATTAAGCTCTGTAACGTACTGTTACAGAGGTCAGATTTCAGTGAGTTGAAGAAGAGATAGGTGAAAAACAGAGGCAGCAATTATAGACCAAGCCTTTCTGCAGCAAGGGACATTTACTGAAAAGCTGCTGGTTCTAGGGATACTACTAGGGATACTGCGTATGTTATCTCTAACACACGTCGCAGGATTACACTACCTAACATTTCCCTGGGTTAGTAAGTACATTTCTTTCTTTTTTTTGTACCGGGGATGGAACTCATGACCTTGCACTTGCCAGGCAGTCACTTATACCATTGAGCTAAATCCCCACCCCGCTTTTTGGTTTTTTGAGACAGAGTCCCACTCTGTAATTTAGGCTGGCCTTGAGCTTACTGTGTAGCCCAAGCTACCGTTCAACTCACGGCAGACCTCCTGCCTCAGCCTCCTGCGTGCTGGGATTACGGGTGTGCACCGCCACAGCTGGTGACAAACACATTTCTTAAGCAGCAGGTGAATGCATAAAGAAAACATGGTGTTTATACATAACAGAGTGCTCCTGTGTCCAAGAAGGGTAAACATGGATCATTGGCAGGAAAATGGGTGCACGCTGAGACCATAATGTTAAGTGAAATAAATCAGACACATGAGCTTAAATAGTGCAGTTTCTTTTATATGAGAAACCCAGCATATAAACAAAGTGCAAAATAAAAGAGACACAGTATATAAATAGCACATTGTGTCTCTAGTGTAAAAAGTAATAAGAATGTAGGAGTAATAAAACCCAAAATGTGTAATTGCTATTGTACAAAAGAGAGGAAAAGAAACTGTTCTAAAGGATATAACTGCATGTATGTTTAAGCGTGTAGGATAGATGACCATATTACTAAGATTTTGTTGGATTGTTGAACAGAACTGTTTGCAGTCTTGCTGTTTGAATGTCCACTTCATATGCTATTTCTAAGAGGACAGTATGTAATTTATCAACTAGTGATTTCTTAATGTTTATTTTTTTTAATTCTGTATTGTTGCTACCCTTTTTTCTGTTTTGTTTTTTTTCTTTCTCTTTAAATAAATTTTTTTTAAAAAGAGAGAGACAATAGAAAAAAAGAGAAAAAAGTTATTTTAATCCAACACACTCAGGATATCTGCAAGTGTACCCTGAGTGGGCATGGTGGCACATGCCTGTGATCCCAGCACTCAGGAGGCTGAGTATCCCTGCAAGTCTGAGGCCAGCCTGGGCTCCAAGTGATTTCAAGGCCAGCCTGAACTGCACAGTGAGGCCCTGCCTCACAAGACCACGAAATAAAAGTGTGCCTTGGCTCAGCATCATTATTTCGTGTGTTTTATTTATTTATTTTTCGGCCTGTTAGTCTGACTGTTAATCTGTGTGTGTGATGATTAACTTGATAAAGATTGGTAAAATAAATTTGGTGCTGGCCAAAAAAAAAACACAAAAAAAACAACCAACCCAAAAAGAAAAAAAATCAACAAAAATAAGGGTGGCAGGCGAGGGGGAAAAAAGACCTGAGATGTGTTACGTACCTGTTTCAGTTCCCCACAATGAATGGAAGCATTATGTTCTGCAAACAGGCACTTATAAAAATTTTAAAATTACATTTTAAAAATGTACCAGTGTGATGGCACATACCTGTAATGCAAGCACTCAACAGGCAGGAGCAGGAGGGTCACAAGTCTGAGGTCAACCTGGACTACACAGTGAGGCTGTGTCTCCAAAACAAAAACAGAATGAAAAGCATATATATTACGTGTATATTTTCTGTCTGAAGTTATTTTCACTTTTGTGTACGCATACAATGTCTGTTCTTCAACAAGAATCAGAAATCTCTTTCATTCCTGCGGCGAGATTCTTGTTCTCCATGCCTTGGGCCGAGGAGTGGGATGTTGGCGCTGGACTCGGGCCCGAGCGGTTACCCCGCTCGCTTCTCCCCAGGCCCGGTCTGAGAGCCAGCGGATCCAGATGGAGTCAGAGCTGGCTGTGCAGCTGGAGCAGCAGGTGGCGGAGCGGTTGGCGCAGGCACAGGAGAGCAGCCTGCGGCAGACGGCCTCCCTGAGGGAGCATCACAGGTACCTGGGGCTTCCGGGGCTTTGCTTGGCCACAGCAGGTGTTCAGTGCCCTGGTGTCCTGCTCCCAGTATACTTTTACGGTCATCAGCCAGGACCTTGCTGCCTCTGGGGAAGGCTGCCATCCCATGCCCATGGAGAGCCCGTAGGGAGGAGCCCTTAACCGTGAACTGAGGGGTACAGGACTGGGAGGTGTCCGGCTTGCCAGGACTGCCCAAGTGTGCCCTGAGCTGCCCCAGAGCTGTCCAGCGGGACTGAGTCCCTTCCCATCCCAGTTTCATTTCTTTTTACTTGTATCATTGTTTTGTTTTGTTCTTTTTCTTTCTGGAAGTGCTTCTTAAACACCTCACTTGGTCATAAATTCTCCTCTTTGCTTCTGGGGTCCCATTCTGAGACCCCAGCTGTGTCCTGCCCTTTTCCCAGCCGTGGCCAGGCGGGTACTGGGAGCAGTCCATCCTCCCCTTTCCCCTCCCCTGCACACATTCCCTTGCTCCTCGACCGTGTCCGTCTCCAGGCTCAGCCCTGACTTCTCACCTGTGCCATCATAGGAAGCAGCTACAGGATATCAATGGGCAGCACCAGCAGGAACTGGCCACGCAGCTGGCTCAGTTCAAAGTGGAAATGGCAGAACGAGAGGAGCGGCAGCAGCAGGTGGCGCAGGACTACGAGCTCAGGTGCTGGTCCCTGCGGTGCCCTTGCAGGCCTGGCCCTGTCGCCCTGGTGAGGCCTGGGCTGGCAGAGTGCCCCTCTGTAGCTCCTGTGTCGTCTTCTAAATCGGTCGAGCTCCTTTCAGAATCTCAGGTGTTTGATTTTCCACCCTTGCTCTTGTCCCCTGTGCTTCCTAACAAGCCCTGAGTCGCCTCTCCTCTCCCCTTCAGACTGGCACGGGAACAGGCTCGAGTGCGGGACCTGCAGAGTGGGAACCAGCAGCTGGAGGAGCAGCGGGTGGAGATGGCAGAGCGGCTCCAGGCCATGCTGCAGGCCCACTGGGAGGAGGTCAGCCGGCTGCTCAGCACCATCCTGCCACCTCCGAACCCCGCGGTAGGTATCAGCCCCAGAGCTACGCTCAGGCTTGTGTTCTAGATTCCCTCTGCGGAAGCCTGTCTCCCTCCCAAGGGAAGTCATAAGTGGGGCCCACATCAGGATGGAAGAAAACCTGAGCGCTTTTCTAAAGCACAGCGAGCTTGCCAAAAGGAAGCTTTTCCCCATGCTGTAGCCTGCCTGGACTGGCCCCACTCTCTTGGTCCTAACTCCCTTCCCCCAGTCCCCAGAGATGGTGAATCATCTGCGGTGCTCACTTGATAGACAGCCGAATTAATTTTGGGAGGAAGGGCTAAAAATCGTTGCTAAGCCTCGAACTAAAATAGTCCTGCCCTTGTGCCTTCTTATTCTCCCCTTGGCATCTCTTACTTAATTATGAAAGTTTTCTTATTAGCTAAAATGTCTTCTAGAATAGGTATTCATGTGCACAAGGTTAAACAAAATCAGAACTGTGTATAAGAAGGTATGCAGTGAACAGCTACTGACCCTGTCCTGTGTCTCCATCCCCCGGGTCCCCTTCTCAGAGGGGCCACTGAGCTGGTGTCCTGTGCATCTGTCCTCCTTCCCTTCCCCTCCCCTGGGGTCCCACTCCACCCCGTCCCAGACCCTGAACAGCTCCCTTTTATCTGCTGCCTAATCTACCTAGCACTTACTGGTGGGTGTAATAGTTTCATATATTTTGCATCTACAGTAAGTATCATTAAAATGTATGTCTGTGTGTAAGGTACCTATAAAATCTTTAGAAATAGAGTTGTAAGATAAAAAGTGAGCTTTTAAAATCTGATAGAAATCAGATGTGCCTACAATCACAGCACGCCGGAGGCTGAGGGACGAGGACCGCAAGTTCAAGGCCAGCTTTGGCAACCTAGTGGCCCTGTCTTGAAAACTAAAAAAAGCGGGGCGGGGCGGGGGGAGGGAGATGGGACCAGAAGAAAGTATAGCAGTTGTTAATCTTACTCAAGTATCTGTAGCGTGCTTGTCTCTGAAGCTAGTGGGCTTTCTGCTTCCTCCCTGCCAGGTTCCTCCCACTGGACCCCCCAACTCTGATCCCCCAGAGCTGGAGAAGGCGGAGAGGAGGACCTGGACCATGCCTCCTGTGGCCGTGGCCCTGAAGCCTGTGTCGCAGCAGAGCCGGGAAGCCAAGGATGAGCTGCGGGGAATGCCCCTTGTGGACTGCAGCGCTTCCCCAGACCTTAGCCTGCTGCTGGGCCCCTCTTTTCAGAGCCAGCATTCCTTCCAGCCCCTGGAGCCCAAACCCGATCTAACTCCACCCATAGGTAACTGAGGGCCAGGTCAGCGGGGTCCCTCCTGTGCCCTGCGTGATTGGCTCCTCACCCAGCTTCCTTTCTGATGGGCCCCTGGGCATTGGTTCCTCGGTGTCTTAGTGGTCATAGGTTGCAGACCATACTGATTCAGCTAAAGGAAGTGGAGAACTCATGTAAATGAATGGGGACAGGGGTGCCTTTGGGAATGAGAGCTGTCCCGTCTCTTTGGGTCTGCACGGTCATACCCACTTGTGCCTTTCTCTTCCTAAGTCAGCAGCCTTCTGTCTCTCAGGGTTTTTGTCCCTTGCAACTTTGGCTTGCACATGGGTTTAATGAGCCATCACCCTGACACTAGCTCAAACTCCAGATGATTATAGGGACACTGGTCTCGGAGTTTCTTGGGTCAAAGTTAGCAGGCCACATGGTGGGCTGGCAGCCATTTGCTGGATTGGCTCACCGTGGGTGTGACTAAACCTCTGGTTTAGTCAGCTGTCGCTTTGATGGATGCGAATGTAAACATGCCAGCCTAGGGTGAATTACGATTTGGGATGAGGCTGGCATGGTGGTGTCTTCCTGGAACCCCAGCTGCTGAGGCAAGAGGAGCACAAGCTTGAGGGTAGCCTGGGCTTCGTAGCAAACCCTGTCTCAAAAAAATCTTTTTAAAAGGGTTGCGGTGCAGCTTAGTGGTTTCGTGCTTGCTCAGCGTGTGTAAGGGCCTGTGTTCCAGTCTTCATACCCGCTTCCGAAGTGAGTGTGAGCTGTTTACAGATGGCAAGTGTGCAGTGGTGCTAGTAACAGTGAAGGATTAGGAGGCGAGGCGTGTCTGCTCGGTTTCTGGTGCTCTTTGTTTTGCCCGCTTTCTAACACTCGTGTCTTGGAATCCAGCTGTGCCATGTGCCAGGCGCCTCCAGCCCTCTCTCCAGCTTCCTGGCATCGTCTCCTAGCTGCGACGCCCCTGCATTTTCTTTTGCGCATTTGGCCGGGGGTTTCTGGAGGGTCCCTTTCCCCTCCAGCATGTGTACAGCTGTGCACACTGTTTCACTTCGTAGCTGAAGACTTCCCTGCACTCGGGGCCTTCCACCCTGACCACAGGGCAGAGCGGCCCTTCCCTGAGGAGGACCCAGCGTCTGAGCGAGACGGCTTCCTGAAGCAGGGGCTGCCGCCTGCCTCGCAGCTGGAAGGCCTCAAGAATTTTTTGCAGCAGGTAGGATGGGGTTTTTAAAATTTCCTTTCTTCTTCTCTCTTTTGATTTGGTGAATCCAGGATGTGGCTTCTCTTTTGGAGAAATTCTTGTGCCGGCCCCAGGCTCTCTGTGTGTCCCGTTCTAGGACACAGTTCTCTTCTGATACCTAGTTCTCTGTCCTGACTAGTCCTTTGCTGTGCTGTCTCCCCAGCTGCTGGAGACGGTGCCCCAGAGCGGTGAGAGCCCTTCTGCTGACGTGTTGCCTGCTAAGTGTGGTGAGTTCCGGTGCAGGAGGCCGAGGTGGGCCTGGAGGAGCGGGAGCTGCCAGCGGGGAGGACTTCCGCGCTCTGTCCTGTTCTTTCCTCCTGCTAGGTCCCCGGACTGGGCCATCTTGGGAAGAGCCCTCTCAGGTGCCACGCCTTCCACCTCCTGTCCATAAAACCAAAGTCCCTTTAGCCATGGCTTCTAGTCTTTTCCGAGTCCAAGAGCAGCCCTCTTCTTACTCACAAGGCAGTGGGCCCAGCTCTGGCTCTCCAGAGAAAGGTAAGCAGGCCAGGAAACCACGTGTGGGGCCCTGGATGTGGATTTTAAGGTCCTCTGGATTCCTAGGGAGAAGGGGGGAAGGCGGAGAGACGGGTTTGGGGGCCATCCCTGTCACAGACGTGTCCCTCAGGTGCAGATGGGCTCGGCTCCTCGAGGCAGCTGATGGAGATGTCCCAGCTGTTAAGACAGTACCAGGCTCAGGGCTGGGGGACTCTGCCTGCCGAGGACCTGCTGCTCTACCTGAAGAGGCTGGAACACAGCGGGTAGGAGCCCGGGAGGAATCCGGGCCGGGGTGGGCCGGGCAGGACGTGCGAATGAGCCTCATGAGTTGTCTTCTGTCGCTGCCCTGGGAGGACAGGCAGGGATGCGGTGTAGACTCAGACTCTGCCTTACTGCTCTTCCTTTCCACCACTCTTTACTTCTAAAACTTACTTCTAAAACAAAACAAACCCCTTTCCCATGTCTCTGTATCTTCGTGTTTTTCCTTGCTTTACTTAGAACTCAAAACTCAGCACCCTGGGATTGTAGCTTAGCTAGTGTAACTCCTTACTGGAGTCCACTGTCAACTCTCCGGTTACTCCCCGGCTCCACTGATTGGTCCTTATTTGGGACAGTCAGTTTCGGGTAGAGTTGGGGTGGGCACCGTCCCTACCCTCACATCCTTGCTTTGTGTGTGTGGCAGGACTGACAGCCGCGGGGAGAGTGTCCCCAGAAGGAACCCAGACTCCCGTGTGGGTGAGATCTCCCGGAAAGAGGTGAGGGACAGCAGGCAGGGACCAAGCGAGGACAGGCTGTCGCTGGCCACTTCCCTCAGCCTGTCCTGCATGTCTCCATTGCCCGGCACTTCCTGTCTCTGGTCCCAGGAGCTGGACTGTGGGCTTTCACTTGTGATTGGCTGTAGGTGGAGCATGGACTTTGTTCCTCCTGTGCTGATTGGTTCTGCCCTGTTCACGAACCGTGTCTTCCTCCATGGGAGCGGTGGTTGGGAACGTGTAACACTTACTTCTTTTCTTTTCCTTCAAATCTCAGATCCCATCCCAGGCTGTCCCTCGCCGGCTTGCTACAGCTCCTAAGACTGAAAAACCTCCTGCTCGAAAGAAAAGCAGCCACCTTGCTCCTAGCAGCATGAGGGGTCGGGGAGGTGTCTGGAGATGAGCCGCTGCGCTTTCTCCTCTGCTTTGGTGTCTTCTGGTGGTTATTTTAATAAATGCTTAGTAGTTTGTGTTAGAGTCTCTGACTCAGCAATTTGGAAAATGGAGATTTTTGTAGGAAATTCCTTTGTAAAGAAACCTCTTTCTGTTTGAGTGTGTTTTTTATGTGTTACATGTTAACATGTTATTTCCTCTGGGAAAGGACATAAGTATTTTGAAAGAAGACTGTGTGTGACCAGAGCTTCAGTGTTTAAAGAGTAAACTGTACCGGGCGATTGACTGGGAGGGGAATTATGGTTGGCTATTTCTTTTTTATACATTTTTGTATTTTCCAAATTTTCTAAAACAAGTATGTTACTTTAATAATCAGAAAAAACAATCTTTTAATAAAATAGTTACTGTGTAAAATGTTTGAGTAAAAATGTAGTTGTTGGGGAGGGAGCTTTGTCCTCTAAGAGTGGATAATTCTTGCAGGTTCGTTGGTGGGGTTCAGATTGGCAGAGTCTGCTCCAGCCACAGTGTCACGGCTGTAACCTTCATTCTGTGACACTAAGACAGATTAACGTGCCAGTGGAAAGGGAGGGGAAAAAAACGTCTCCAATAACTCCCATCCTAATGCTCACCAAAACGATCAAAGAACAACATGCTAAGGAAGAAACTTAACATCTGCATGAAGCTAAGAAAGACCTCAACTTCGGGGTACAGCACTGGAAGCCACGCAGCACAGTTTCAGATTAGCCGAAGGAGGCTGTTCCGGACCCTCACTGGGAAACCACGTGCAGCCTGGTTCCCAGCCGCAGGACCGAGCCCCTGCTCCGGAGTCAGTGCAGGTGGTGACCCTGGGAAGCGCAGCTCTGCGAGGTCAGGTCCTGGCCGGGTGTTTGAGGAGCAGCATTTGCTAGATGCTGAGAAGGTGAGGCCCTTCAATTAGGTCCTCAATTAGCTGATCAGATGCACAATAGACATGACGGAATAGACTCACAGGCGTTTTATTTCAGTAAGTGTTCTTCCCTTCCGAGTCCCCACAGGAGGGGGAGAGGAAAGAAAAGACGAAGATGGGTGACCAGTATCCACGTGGCTGCCTCCGCTCACCCGTGCGCGGGGCAGCTCAGCTCTGCACTGCTCTGTTTCCTGGTGCACACAAGCAAGGAAATAGAAGCAAAACAATTCTGGGGTAGCACTGGGCCAGGGAGCTTCTTAAGCCCTTTCTGCTGATGGAGATACTTGGATTTCTATTTTTACCATCTTCTGTGGCATACCATCATCAGTGGTAAAAGATGGTTTTCAACCACTTTTTAAAAACTGATAAAATGAACACCCAGTTCATTCTCTTATTATCTCCCGGATTCCAACCTGTCATCAGTCAATGTGCCCTACATTTTTTTTGCATATGAAGCACAGTCTGGGAGATATTTCCCGAAACGACTCTAACACAAAGTCTGGAAAGGGCACAGGGCTGACTTAGCTATTCTGTGAAGTTTTTACAGCAAACTTAGGATTTTAAAACTTAGGTATTATACCCAGGCTTAAAGTCTGTTCACGGAAGGCCACCCCAGGAGGCTGGGTAGGGAGAGAAAGCCCCAGCCAGGCAGCCCACCACATTTACCTCCGTAATCATTCTTAGACGTGGGGAAAAACCCAACTTCAGGAAAAGACCTTGAATGCAGGGAAGGTGGGCAGAGCTTCTCAGCCCAGGCTTTGTCAGTGCGGGATCTGAATCTCCCGAGAACTCAGCCGGGCATGGTCAGGGGTTGGGGTCTGAAGGGGGAAGGGCACACTGATGTCACAAACTTGGTGGCACTGCGACTTTTGAGTAGTTCCTCTGCCCATGGTCCCGAGCAGTGGGGATTCCTGCTCTGTGTGGTCACATAGGTCTCATTTCCCTCTACCGTGTTGCACCGTGTGGGTTGGTGAAGCAGGGCCATTGTCACATAGACTCATAGCTGAAGCAGGGCAAAGAACTGTGCTCAGCATCTTAAGACCCATACCGGAAGATGCCACACATACTTGATTTCTCATAACTTCATTGGCAAGACCTTGGTCACCAGCCAGGTGCAGTGGTGCGTGCCTATAAGAGCATTTGGGAGGCTGAGGCAGGAGGATCGCTGTAAGTTTGAGGCCAGCCTGGGCTACATAAGCAAGTTCAAGGCCAAAGCCAGTTCACAGGGAGACCCTGTCTTTAAAAAACGTGTGGGGCCTTTACTACCTTGTCACATCTGCCTGCAAAATACTCGTAAGTGTAGCCTAATCAGGCTGCCTTGTTTGTACCCATAAATATTATTATGAAGAGCAAAGGAAGAAGGAGCAACCGGCCTGGCAGCTAACAGTTTGCTCCACCCTAAGAGGAAGAACCCCCTTAGAAAAACTGAAAACTACCAGTTGCTGAGATAACCCTGCCAATAATTAGTGGTAACAAGCTGCAGTAAGATACGCTAGACATCTCTAACTTAGTCCAAGTTTTAGAATGAACTGCACTCTACAAAATCGAGTTAATCCTGGAGAAAGAAAACTCTAAGCAGTATTCTTACTGAGAAGAGAAACATGGCATGCAAAAGAATTAGAGGGCCAGGGGTACAGCTCAGTGGCACAGCCCCTGCCTGGCAAGCGTGAGGTCGTGAGTTCCGTTCTCGGTACAGAATAAAACAAAATGAAACATGAATGAGAACACAGAATGAGAATTTTTGCATTTAAAAAAGTAAGAAAAAACTGAACTTTACTGGAAACCATAGTTAGAAGAAAATGTCCGGACTTCCGGGAGAACATGGCGGACAGATAACAGCAACTACCGGAGGCTCTCTGAAAGACTCGGCTCAGAATCCAGGAATGGTGCGGACTAAGGAGACATAAGCAGGTGGAGATATGCTCTGCTGACTCAGGAACGAACTGGGCTGAGAGAAACCAACTTGGAATGCAGTCCTGGTGCTAAAACAGGAACAGAAAAGCCTCAGTGTGGAGGCTGGACCCCGCGCCATTGTAAGCCGCGATTTGGGTTTCCCGCCGCGCGGCGGCTGGCTGCCTCTACAGTGGCTCGGCAAGGAGAGAGACACACAGAAGCTCTGAGAACTGCAATCTGCGAATGGCAGGGAGGCATGTTCTGACTTGTGGCGAGGTGAGTGAGAGAAACTGACACTCCACAACAGTTTGACTCCAGCGGACTTTCTGGGCCCGAGCAGTCCTGCGGGAGCAGGGCGCGGTGGCGACTCCAGCCACACATCCCCCTCTCGGGCGGGATTGGTGAAAAGTGCCTGGCCTGCATGACGCTGCCGGCGGACCTGGTAGGCTGTCCCAACCCAGATCCCAGAGCCTGACGGTGGCTGGGAGGGGAGACGCGTAGGCTGCCTGGTCCGTAACTCCCTGGTGCGCAGCGGTGAGCAGGAACACCTAACCGGCGCAATTCGATCAGGCTGTGGCTGACGGGGAGAGAAGCTGGGCCTCTTATATAAGCTTGCATATATAAGGAACAGAGAATATGGGAAGAGGCAGCAACAAGAAAGACTCCTCGGCCCCCAATTCTGAGAAACAGGCAATAGCAGACACCGCACCAATACACATAAGGCGCCATATAGAGAGCCTCATAGACCAATTCAGGAATGAAGTTATCAACGACCTGAAGCTAGAAGTATGCAGAATAGTTAGAGAAATGCTAAGTACCACCCAAGAAAAAACAGGCGGTGGAATGGAAGAACAGAAAAAAAGGGGAGAATTGTTTGATGGAGAAAACAGAGAAAGCATAGAATACATGAAGCAGGTTCAAAGAGACTACCAAGATACTAAGAAGTCTATCGAAGACTGGCATAACAGCTTGAAAGAAACTAAGGACAGACTATCTGAACTGGAGGGCAGACTTGTAATATGGGAGAATGAAATGAAAAACTTCTTAAAAATAACAAAGAAACAAACAGCAATAATACAAAGACAAGAAGATGATAAGAGGATCCATAACTTAAGGATTAAGAACATAAAAGAAGAAGTAGGGACACAAACAAGTGAACTACAAAAGCTACTCACAGAAATAATCCAGGAGAATTTTCCTAATTTAGCAAAAGGTAAAGATACTCAGATGTATGAGGCATACAGGACCCCAGCTATCTACAACCCAAACAGAGCAACACCCAGGCATATAATAATAAAAATTCCAGAAATTCAATACAAGAACAGAATATTAAAAGCTGTAAGAGACAAGAAACAGACCACTTACAAAGGAACACCCATCAGAATTACAGCAGATTTCTCTGCACAAACCATCAAATCACGAAGAGCGTGGGGGGAAATAATTCAAGCTTTGAAAGATAATAATCTCCAGCCAAGATTGAGATATCCTGCACAACTGTCCCTGGAAATTGATGGAAAAACAAGGTGCTTCCAGGATAAAGAGGAACTGGAGGAATTTGCAACCACCAATTCAACTCTACAGAGAGTATTGCAGGATATTCTAAAAAAAGAAAAATACAAAGAATCCAGAAATAATGGCAGAGAGGCCACAACGAATGGAGCAGAGAACAAAATGAAGAAGACAAACTGACAGCTACTGACAGAAAAAGAGCTCAACAGAAATGAGGCAGAGAAGATTGGATGATAGGAACAGCTATTTTGGAGAAAATGACATCTTAATAGGTAATACTGATTTAGTATCATCTTGTTTTGAAGTCTCATCTAGCTTTTGTCCTTCTGTCTCCAATGGTCTAAATAGGCTGTATCTTATTGGATTTTATTATGTACAATAGTATAAGCAAAAACCTTTTAAAGACAAGGAGATTATACAGAAACCATTGTTCATTTTCTGTTAGTCGATTCTAAATACTCTGTAATGCTGTCATTCTCTTGAATGGGTTTACATTGTTTTGATATACTTAATGCTACAGTATACGAAGTTGTACTCAAGGATTTCAAAGAAAGAGACAATATGGTAACTACTTTTAGGTTAGGATTATCTGGTGGTGAAACACTATTCTGCTTAAATGGTTATGTTTTGATCTGTGCTGTTTCGTTGTTATGCCCTCTTTTATCTCAATCTCCACTCCATTATTTACTTTTTTATCTTTATCCTTTTAATTAAAGGAAAAAAATAGCAGGATATATTATAGTAACCCACTTTGACTTTTCATTACCTTGATTTAAAGCCCTGTATTACTCTCACCATCTGGTTTTTAACTGATGTTCCCCTATTCTGTTTTGCTGGATAGTATCAGGTTCGAAAGTTTAGACATCAGCTGTGAAGATGAGATTCATTATGACGCCCATTCTTGTTGACTTTTATCTACTTTTGAAGACCTACAATGTCTCCAGTGTTTTGGTTTTGTCGGTTTTATTCTTTACTGTTTTGTTCAATTGTATTATAACTAACGATATAGGCAATTCTATTAGAGATAGCGGGAGGCATTATGGTAACCATTGTTGATCACCTTGTA